CCCCCAGCACCCCGGTCGTCTACTTGCGTCTTTTAGCTCTTTGAAATCGAGAGGAAAACGAAATATTTAAAAGAACCATTAAAGATTTAGAAATGACAAGTGAAACGACGTTAAAGGGGAGGCCTTCATCTATAATCTTTTATGACTACTACAACTGCTGCTGTGACTAACCGCCACAGTCAAGATGACAAGTGACGTGTGTGCCTCGGCTCACCCCCCCCTCCCCCGCCCCCCAGCACCCCGGTCGTCTACTTGCGTCTTTTAGCTCTTTGAAATCGAGAGGAAAACGAAATATTTAAAAGAACCATTAAAGATTTAGAAATGACAAGTGAATCGACGTTAAAGGGGAGGCCTTCATCTATAATCTTTTATGACTACTACAACTGCTGCTGTGACTACTACATGCATACAAGTGTGGCACCGATGATTTCATTGTGCTTTTATTTGTGTTTTCTTTTTTTCCCTGTTCCATAGTATCGAGGCTGGCTCCACATTCCGCATTTCTCAGACCTTTGTGTCCCCTCTCCTCTCCATTGTGTAGCTAACGATCATCTGCTGCTGTCTGCCCGTGTATAGCCTCTGCCTGTTTTTCTATCTGCATCTAGCTGGTTATGTGGTGGGGGGGCCGGGGGACAAAAAACACACAACTTCTTATCCTTCATCTTGTTGCTCCTTCTTTTCTACTTGCTCCTTCTTCTTTCTCATTTCCTCTCTTCCATCTGAAGACAAACATCGGCAAAACAAAAATCATGCTCTCTGTTGTGTTTCTTACCAAAGAGTATTTGGGCCACTCGAAAAAAGCGCTAGGATTTATTGTCAAGAAATAAAATGCTGCAAAAATTAATAAAAAAAAAAAAGTTGACACATTTTCAAAATTGTATTTTCTTATTGTCTGTACCCATTTATTGTCAAGAAATAAAATGCTGCAAAAATTAATTAAAAAAAAAAGTTGACACATTTTCAAAAAATAAAGTTGAAATATGAGGATACATGGTAATATTGTTGAGAAAAAGCTGCAACTTTTCAAAATTTAAGTCAATAGAAGAAAGTTAGATTTTTTTAGAATTAATATGAGTATAAATTTATATATTTTAGGGAAAAAATGTTTTCAAGGTTAAGGTCATAACATTGAAAGAAAATTCCAGCTATTTTTAAGGAAAAAGAGTGTTTGGAAAAAAATCTTTCACACTACATATTGTGAAATGAGAAACCGTAGATTTTTGAGAATAATGTCCATACAACGAGGCTCGATTTTGTTGAGAAACAAGTTGCAGTTTTTCAAGATTGGAGTCATCATATTAGTCGAATAAAGATGTATATAGTATTGCATAGTTTCTCCATCTATTTGAATATTTTTGAGAGTAAAAGCTTTATTTTTGATCATAAATTTAGGTTTGAAGAAATGGTATTTCAATGTCGTAGCGTACATTTCAAGAGCAAAGTCATTTTTTTGAGTAACATGCTTTCAAAATGAAACACTGTCGACCTTTTTTAGATTTAAGTTGTAAGAATAGGAGTTATACAGATTAAAAAAACAAAACAAAACATTATCTTTTGAAAAATCCAACTAAAAAATTTGTAAAATTACCATCATAAAGTCGCATTTGTTTTTTTCAGTGCAGCCCAAGTAGTCCTTGGTAGTAACTCAAGAATAACATCTTCTTGTACAGCGTCTTGATTGACACAAGTGTCTTTAGTGAATAACCCATACTATCTCGACTGCTGCTAGACATTGTGATTCTCCCATTTTATGTGTCGGTAGATGACATTCAGCTGTAAATTCCTGTAAAGTGGATACATTTTGACACCCACCCCCTCGATAACATCACTCCCCGTCTCCTCCTCCCTTCTCCAAATGCTGCGTCGATCATAGCCAACAGAAGGCTTGATTGAGCTGGCCATCATCGAAAGATGCACTGAGGACCCCTAAAACAAACAAAAATTTAAATCATCACAAAATGAACAAGTTTTTGATTGGTGTTTTCCCAGCTAGTGAAATCTGACAGAGATAATAATGCTCACTTTTGATTGAAACAGTCAGAGAGGAATCGCTAAAAAAGTGGCGACATTTTTTTTTTTCTTCAATTGCACTGATGATTGCGCCCCAGGAACTCTACTATCAAAACAAAAGGCTCGGCAAAAAAATTCTGCACATTTTTAGACATACTTTAAGAAAACAATTTTTCAATTCCGAATTCTGTCAATTTTAGATTTTTTTTAAAGGTATTATATAGCAGTAAGAGTTCATAGGGCTCAGTCACAAGTTAACAATTAAATTAAAAAAAATCTAAATATAAATATAAAATTCATAATAGGTAAAAATGTTCCTAGGGCTCAATCACAAGTTAACAATTAAATTCAGCAAAAAAAAATCTAAATATAAATATAAAATTTGTAATCGGTAAAAATGAATCAGAAATCACATTTTTGTTGGGAGGGAAAATTGTTTTGGGTTAAGGAAGTGTGTCTTATGCCCATATTTAGTTATATAAACTTTGCCTGGCAACAAGTAATTGGGTGAAAAATTATAGCAATTTTTAAAAACTACATTGTCTAGATAGCACCAAAAAAATAAAATCAAATCAAAATTCTTATCCTAACTGGCATTCTTAATCAAAACTGAGCTTGATTATCCTCGCAACGACATCCTGATGCAGCTCATGTGCTGGATTGTTGACCCAACATTGTGTCCGGTGAGCGTGTGCATATCCAACCTTCCTGCACATTCCCTTCAGTACCCCCCCCCCCCACACACATCAAATTGGCACGTTGAACTGTTCATCAAAGCCCCTCCTGTGTTTTTATAGCCAGGCACAGCCTTCGTCACAATGCTATCCATTTTACAGGGATGTGTATCCTGCGCTGCTGTAGAGCTCCTTTTTTTTTTGGAAGAAAAAAAAAATAGAATCCAAATGTCCTTTTGTTTTCTTTAATCAATTCTTTGTTTTGATACCTCCATACTGTTGTATGACTAGGTCCTATAATGCATGGTCCATTTTCTTTTTTTTTTTTTTCTCCACATGGAAGAGCAGATTCCAATGTTACTCTCTTGTGTCAAAATGTCCCTGCTGTATTGAACTGTGCTGTTAAAAAGCATACACATCTACTCATTGGATGCCGCTTCTGTCGTGTTAACCCTCCAGAGAAGCATGGTCGGGCCTTGCCTTCCGCCTCTTTAATTAATTTGCATGGTATTATTGTGCTTATGCAGGAGCAAATGGCTCTCTATTTTTTTATTATTCTCTCACAGTGCCACACCTATATTTATACTAATATTTTCCAATAAAGACTGTAGTTTTCTTCCTAACCTTCAGTGTGCTTTTTGCTGATTTTTCCATGTCGCCTACCACCCCCCCTCCCCCGCCCCCTCCACACTGCCCTTTTACCCCCACCTTCCTCCTCCTCCTCCTCCTCCTCCTCCCACCACACTGTGCTGTCACTGAGACATTTCCCCTCACTCTTTATGTTCTGCCATTTTTCAGCTGTCGCCCGACAGTCGATGCAACTCGCTGCTGCGCACACTTTGAAATTGGTAATTTTTACGGTAGAAACTCCCAATTGAACGCAATTGACGCCACCCCGCCCACTATTTTTTCAAAATGATTTCGGAGCGTTTCCCCATATGAAATAACCGAAATAGAAATGACAGCCACATTTTACAAGCAGCAGCGGACCTGTTGTTTGTATTATTTGGGAAATAATTGTGATGAAAGCTCCAAGTGGCGGTAAATGGGACCCCCTTTTTTTTGTTGTTTTTTTTTTAAAATTGACGAATCTTTGAAATGATTTCACACATTTTTTAAGTCATGCTTTTGAATTTTATTTGTATTTTTTACGACTGAGCGTCTTCACATCTTGTTTTGGATAGTGGGGCTGATTTGACCAAAATGGCTGCCTTCCTTTTTCAGTTTCAGGCATGGGTCCTTGAGAATTTTTCGTGCGTCGTCTTATGATGGACCTGTCCGCCCCAATTGCGTGTTGATCAGTGAAGCTGGTGTCAAGGGTTAATTTTTTTTTTAATTAATAAATAAATAACAATAACGATGTCATGCCTTGCCCGCATTAGATGACATTGCAACTTAGCATCACAAAAAAATGAACCCTACAAAATGGCTTCTTTGAAACACAACTGACTTTTTGTTCCATTTCAGACAAGGGTCATTGAAACTTTTTCATGTCACCTTTTATGATCGACGTCCATCTAATGTCGTGTCAGTCAGTCAAAACGGTGCCAGGGGGTCAAACTTTTTTTGGTGGAATGAAACCTAAAATGACTTCTTCAAACCAAAAAGCCTAACGACCTGTTCAGTTTTGTGCTTAGTTCCTTGAGACTTTTTCGTGTGTTCTTCAATCATTAGGGGTAAAATTAAATCATTGGAGGTGGAACGGTTCACAAAAACCACAGTACGTTTCATATCTCGGATTTGTGCTGACGGTTTTCGGTTCCGTTCGGGATGAGTCTACTCTTAAAAATAACAAAAGGCATCAATCTCTTGTATACAGTATGTACCCAGCGTTATTGATCACTATGATCGTTTTTGCGTTTAGATGATTTGGTTTTTCTATCTCTGCTAGTGACGTATAGTGGCAGTGAACGAATAAATGGTCCTGAAGTGGATGACAAAGGGATAACCAACCTGTGTGTCCACCTCTCCGTTCTTGCAGGAAAGTAACTCAACAGCTTCCAGCAAATATATCAGCTTTTTTTTTTTTTTTTACCGAGCACTTTAAAATCAACCACAGCTCAATACAAAGCAGTGGGCCCGCATCATCAAAAACGGTCCAAGAAATTGTAAATATGCCCATTCTGACAGGTGCATGCATAACGCGCAGGCTGAGAGAGAGACAGAGAAGAGAGCATTGCATGATGGGATAGCGCTGCACCAGACAGCAGAAAGGGATTATGCTGAGGAGAGAGGAGGTGTGATTGTGTGGTTGCATTGATGGGAGCAGCAGGGAGTAATGGGGAGAGGTGTCGGGTGGAGGGGGTGGGCTGGTCATGTCAGACTGCGTCAATTGGGCGTGGGCGGAGCTTTCGGGAAAAATCAGTCAAGTGAGGACACACCATAGGGTGGGCTCCAGAGGGTTGTACTCTGCACCAAACAGATCCAAGGAAGGAATTAAAAGTCGAACGGGCCTCGTTACTGCAGCCACCACCGCAATATGTCAGCTATTGATGCGCAGAGATAAATGATTTGATATTTACAAGAACACAAAGTCTAACGTTTCTGCACTGCTTGCTCAGACAAATATGAACAGCGGATTGTTCGTCATTTTAGAGCGCCACGTTGTCCGCAATAGCTCTTCGCCACTTCGATGTCGATTTTTCCGTTGCAGCGCGTTTTATTGAATCTTCTGCCATCTAGTGGAAGCTCATCTCAAAGTTCTGCTTGTCAGTATACATCGCTGGCATAGATAGATGAACAAAGAGACACCATTTGATACACACGGCACATTAAAGTGCTGCAAAACAGCGGTTGGGAATCACCGGATTAGATACATCCCATCCCAAAAATGGACACGCACACCGAATTCATATGTTGCCATGACAACTATCCGACCGTACTCCAGCTTCTCATTCCACAACCCCCGGGCAGAGCGGCGAGCTACTTGGAAATAATTTGTCCCCCCCCCGAGGCCTTCTACCTTCCCTTCTGCCTCTCGAGACGCAGCCACCGTCATTGATTATCGAACGCGAGTCAATACAGAGACGATTCAGTGGGACTGCTTTACAATCTCATTGATTCTCCGCTCGAAAGGGGCGCAGGAGGCTGCCGACTCTTTATCGACCCGCTCGAGACTATTCGAGGGCTTTCGCCGGACCTCATTTAAATCCATGTGATTAAAACGCAGCCCAGTGGCTTGTGGTTCACTGTTGCCTCGCAGCAAGGTGGTTCCAGGTTTGAATCTCAACTCGGGCCTGGGCTTAGACACAGTCTAAAAACATTTATCCGAAGCCATTATTTTAGGTCCTTTGAAGGCCATTTATTGTCAACTTTAAAAAAAAAAAAAATTTTATTAGCTTCATTCAAAACTAATCGCAAGGCCTTTGGGAAATGTCAACTCTGTGAATTGTTTACCTATCTGTGTGTTTCTGACACAAGTAATACAAGTTTTTGAATATCTCTTCTTGTTTTTTTCCCCCCTCGAGCTGCTGCAACTCCCTTGTGAAGGTGCCAGCAGCCGCGATATATAAAAATAAAAATACAGACAACTATTATACACAATGCGCAAGAGATGAGGAGAAAGCATGTTGGCAGCTGAATATGTCTTTCCAGCCAGCCTGCCTCCTCCGTGGTTTGTTTGAAGAAGAAGAAAAAAAAAAAATTGGATGTTTTCTGACCACACAGGTGCACACTTCACCAGGCACCAACACAGCCATGCTACCTCCTGCCGACATTTTCACCTGGGCGCCCCGCAGGCGCCCATCTCAGCCGAGTTCCCTTTAGGACACGCCGGCCAGCCCGCTCAGACGGGTCTGGCCGCCCACCTCCCCCCCGCGCACCATCCACCCCTCGCCGCCCTGCCCGCCGCCGCCGCCGCCCCACAATTCCAGGACGTGTCGGGGCCTCCATTCCTACCTCAGGCCTTACACCAGCAATACCTCATCCAACAGCAGCTTCTCGAGGCGCAGCACCGCCGGATTATCCCACACTCCAGGTGTTTGTTTATTTTTATTTTTTTCTTTGGGTGACACATATGACAATTTTGTTGGGTTTTTTTTTTTTTTGCAAAAGTCGAATTGAGGCATCTGGACACTTGGTGGTTGAGGATTATTTCATCTTACATGCAAAAATGCTTCTTTACCCGCTCACGGCCGACAGAAGGACCCAGGAACGAGTTCCCCTCAACCTCCACCGGCTGCGCTCGGCTTACGAGTACTCCCCACCCCTCCACGCCCCGCCGCCGGTGACGCAGCAGCCCAGGTATCTCGCCGAAGGCACCGACTGGTGAGTCAGCAACTTCAAGTGTCGCCGCCGTCGCCGATGCGCCCCCCCCCGGCTGTTTGCCTGTCGCGCCGCGTCGACTTAGCGGCTCGTCTGTCTTGCCCGGTAGGGATCTCAGCGTCGACGCCGGCCTCCCTCACCACCAGTACCACCTCCAGCAGCTGCCGCAACACTACCAGCACTACCTGGCCTCCCCCCGAATGCACCACTTCCCCAGGAACACGTCCTCCGCACAAGTGGTCTGTACTTAACGCTTATTCAGCGGAGTCGGCCAAATATCGAAATCTGCTCGATTTTGTTAATTAATTCATTTATTTTTTTAAATACTGGCGCTGCCTCGAGTCCCACTGTGGCATATTTCACAAAGATGGCCGCCGTAGTGTACCATTAATGTTTGGCATCTCTGTCGCCCTTAACTCATTCAGTACAAACCAATTCTAGACCAAGTCTGAAAAGACGTTTAAAAACGTCTTTGGGAGTGACTGAGTTCAATGTATCACTTAGGATATGACACCCCAACATATTATTCCAAACTCCTCTTGTAGCACAACCCCTAAAAAGAAATGAATTCCAGATGATTTGATTGAAAAAAAACCCAAAACAAAACAAAACACTGTGGTGCATTTATATGCGCACATGCGGCTAAACCTTTTTGCTCCCTGACATACAAAGCTTGATTTTCAGTCAAAATGGATTCAGCATACAAATACTTCCTTAGTACCAGTTTTGTCTACATTGCTAGGAGAAAAATATTTCCCGCGTTTCCGAAAGGGCACACAAAATGCAAATAGGTGAGTTTTTCTGCAAACCGCTAGGAAAAGATTCCATAGAAAGAGACAATGAAAAAGTGAATTTGTGAATGGTCACCCATGAACATATGCTGGATGTTTCTGTATTTGTTGTGCATTTATTTAGTTTGGACCCATTGGTCAATTTGAAAGGCTTTTGGTTGCGTCTTGTAAAGTAAATGTCATACTCCTCTGGTGTTTGTCATGTTGCCAGTTTTTAGACTCCAAGTTCAACCGTAATTATTGGGACTCAGTCCTACTGCGCGACCAGGCCAGACTTTAGCATTGAGCTGTCTCTTAAGCGCAGGAATGTAAAGGAGAGCTCTTGTTTTTGCTAGGTTGTGCATGAAATCAGAAACTACCCATACCCCCAGCTGCACCTGTTGGCACTGCAAAGTCTGAACCCCTCCAGGCATGCTACCGCGGTGCGGGAGAGCTACGAGGTAAAACATGTATTTTATTATTATTTTTTTTTAAGTTGAGTATTTCGGTGCGGGAGAGCTACGAGGTAAAACATGTATTTTCTTTTATTTTTTTTAAATTGAGTATTCGAACCTATTGCGACCGCTCTAACTAACTTGTTTCTTCCAGGAGCTTCTTCAGTTGGAGGACCGTCTGGGCAGCGTAAACAGAGGTGCAGTGCAGACCACCATCGAGCGATTTACCTTCCCGCACAAATACAAAAAGGTAACGTCGCGCAAACAGAATGCTAATCGACACGGACGCCTCGTCGGAAGGGCCTTTTGACTCCATCCTTCTGCTTCCCGAGAACAGAGGAAGCCCTTGCAGCTGAAGCTCGGGGAGGAAGAGGAGGAGACGGATGTGGATGAGAAGTGCACCATCTGCTTGTCCATGTTGGAGGACGGCGAAGACGTCAGGTTAGCCAGTTGTCGAAAATACATGAGTACTGTACGTTTTATACCTGAGGTTTTATTGTCCGGACGGATCGAATCTAAATATTCTAGCAGCTGGAGGAAAATATCCACTAAAATGTCTTTTGAACCATCGAAGCAAACATTTATGATTGAAATCACCTCGATGGAATTTATTTTTGAAGAAATGTGTCCGACTCCTTGTTGTTGTTGTTGTTGTTGTTGGCGGCAAGTGAGTACTGTGGAATCTGTTTCCCAAAAGTCTGACTAAAACGGAACAGTATGACAAAAATATTTCCTATAGTAAATACAGATTGCTCGATTTTTGAAGAAGAAAAAAAAATGCGCCCGAAGTGCCCGTGTTTACGCACGTGGGGCAAACACTCTCAATAATCTCCACTAACAACCCAGGCTAAACTTAGCAAATTTGTTTGTCTCTTTGTCATTTTAACATAACTTCCTTGATACCAATGACCATTTTCCAAGTAGCTTGCTTAGGGCTTTGGTACCATTTTGTGACAGGGTGATAGAAAGACCACAAAAAAAAAAAAATAAATTGCAGAGAGCTGTGGCGATAAGTCCTTTATTCAGTGAGTAATTCACTATACATGCAAATTAAAGCGCATTTGGTCTATGGATGACACACACGTGATAGTTTTAGTCGCTATGCTGCTAAGTATGTAGCCTTCGGAAAAAAAAGACCACAAAAAAAAAAAAATAAATTGCAGAGAGCTGTGGCGATAAGTCCTTTATTCAGTGAGTAATTCACTATACATGCAAATTAAAGCGCATTTGGTCTATGGATGACACACACGTGATAGTTTTAGTCGCTATGCTGCTAAGTATGTAGCCTTCTTTAGCTCCTTCGGCCAAATTTAACAAACTGAACTTGTAAGGGTCCAAGTTGACTTTGTAGGTTGGGGTGGGGGGCTTGTGGGGGGACAGGGGTCGGGTTGCGACATATGTGTGCATCCTCAGCTGTCTCTTGGATTGATGAGTGGGCAGAGCGCATGTCGTTACGCCTGACATGGCAAAACCCAACTCCCCGTTGGAGTAGCCCGAGTGAGTGAACACCCCCCGCTCGTCGTCTTTGTGTCCCACAGGAGGTTACCCTGCATGCACCTCTTCCACCAAGGCTGCGTGGACCAATGGCTGGCGACCAGCAGGAAGTGTCCAATCTGTCGAGTTGACATCGAGACGCAGCTGCACCCCGACAGCTGATGAGATTTTCCACCCCCACACTGTTTCCTACCACGCTCCTGCTTTCTTCCACACACACACACATACACCCCTCCCCCATGGGTGCTTTTGCGAAATGTCTCCTGACTTTTGACGTGACATCTTTTTTTTTTTTCCCCCCTTCTGGACTCTCGCTTTACTGAGCCAAGCCAGGGAGTAGAAGTGCAGGAGAACTCAATTTCTCGCTCTTCTTGCGCCCTCCCCGTCTTTTTTCTCTCTTTCTATAAAACACAAGCACATCCGCACACACTAACAAGTCGTGTACACAGGGTTTCATTGTAGCTTGCTGGTTTTACGTGGTGGTGGTGGTGGTGTGGTGCAGGGGTTCTCAAACTTTTTGGGTCCGGGGATCCTTGACAGTGATTTTTTTTTTTCTTGTTACAACATCAATTAAACATAATTAACATTTGTAGCCCTAAATGTCATAGGAATGAAAAAGTTACCAATTTTTGAGGGTGGGAAAAGGTCAGAATTAATGTTTTCTCACGGAGGGGGGGGGGGTTAAATGTTATCTGAATTAGGTTGTATTTTTTTAATTAAAAAAAGTAGTAATCATTTCAAGAAAGCATATGTATTTTGTTGAATAGATTAAAAACTCATAAGTCGTAAGATCAAGTCAAAATATATTAAAGTCCCTGTAAAGTGAAAAGAAATGTCTTCTAAATTTGACACTCAATAGAAAAGACTGTTATCAACCCTGCCAAATTTTAATAATGGAGAAAATAATCGCTGACCATGTCAAATGAGGTCTCAAAATCATACCTCGCTCTCAAAACGCTTTGTTTGTGTTTTCTGAATGCGTCGTTACATTTTTCGGGCTCTGAAAATATATCCGATTAAAGCCTGCGGTGGCTGGAATATATCCCAGGGTGTTGTCATGAGGCTTTCCATTCCGTGACAATAGGTGCTAGCTAGCAGCTAGCTTGCGAGCTAACAGGCTTCCGGAGCCTACTCGTGACCAGCAAATGGGTGACGGGCTTGCCCGCGGCCTCACCTCCTCGCTCTAGAATTTAAATCACGACACAGACTAGTGTTCTGTACATCATTGCCTCCAGGGAAGATTTATTTTCAAATGTAGGCATAGTTAGCCTGCTAACTATGCTGTCAGAAATTCACTTTACAAGTTCTTTAGTCAAAGTTTAACTGACAAGGGAAGAAAGTCATACAGTTTTGAACAATTTTTTTTTTTTAGAAAAGATACAACTTTATCATCATAGTATTATGCCTTTTCTGATCAGAAATTAATCTAAAAAATAAGCCTTTTGAAAAAAAAAATTTATTCTAGGAATAATATTGTAAAATAATGACTAATAATTATCAGTCACATTTTTGTGATGCTGCATCACAAGCATATCAGTGCTTTTAATTGGCCCAAGAAGGTAGGGGAGAGCAGGTTTGTTTTATTCCCACTCCAGTATACGACATAATCATTTATTCAAATTATTTACAGATGCCCATGCTTCAGCTCATGGACCCCAGGGGGCCCGAGGACCCCAGTTTGAGAACCATTGGTGTAGTGTAGGTGCCTCCGGGCCGTGTAGCATGTCCTTAAAAGCCATGACTTAAACGTCCCATTGCGAGCTTGCTGTCTTTCTAAATTCTCTCTAAGTCTCTTCTTTTTTCTTCTTCCCGAAAAACAAATATGCCGTGTTTACCTTTTATGATCGTAGAGTAGCAGCAAGCAGGTGTGGCGCGCCGCAGCCTCCTTTAATGGGAGCGCCATATGTGGCGTGTTTTAAATATATCGTGCGGTTTTGACGTTTTGCAATATGCTTGCGCCGACACTTCAGGGGACTCTGAGTCAGCAAATCGCCACAGTTCAAATGAAGTCGTATGTTGCAACAGGGTTGCTGAAAGAAAGGTGGAATTTTTCCATGGGAAATACTGGGAATAATTTGTTTAATTTAGACATAGGCCAAATCGCCGGTTTGGTGGTTTACGGTGTGGCTTTAAAACATCATGGTTTCAATAATCGTAATTACTATACTGTATATAATTTGTCATCATTATTTTCTGTCATGTTTCCCAAATTTCTCAGCTCAGTTTCCCATGGAGAATTTCCAGCCAACTTTCCCGCCCTCTCTTGCGACACAAGCTGCCAAACAAACTGCGCATGCGTGCTTGCCTTGTCGCGCATATTAGCACAACGCTTCCGGTAACCGTGAATTACGGGACGCTTATGACAACACAAAGCCAAAAAAAAAATTAAATTAAAAATGGACGCTGTAATGCAGTGTTGGAGTATAGTAATAATAGTGGTCGTCGTATGCAGGAAGCTTTAGTGCTGTCCTTGTTAGCTGTTTGCTTCAGAACGAAAACTGCATGTGTTTGTGTTGCCGGCAGCTTAAAACTACAAAGATGGCGTCCTTTTTTTTTTCTTCAAAGCGAAAGAACAAGCACAGGCTTTTTATTGGCTTCTAAATGAGTGAGTGAATTTTGCGCGACAACCCGCCTCCCTTTTCCTTGTGGTTGCTTTTGCCGATTGCTCTGCTGTATTGCTCTAGAATGTGACGTACGACGGAGGCAGCCTCTCTCTCGTAGTGCACAAACAACAACACAACGAATTTACATTTAAACGTGACAACGCCCTTTACGCACTGTGATAGTGGATGATGTGTATGATTTTTTTTTACGTTTTTTTTTGTGTCTTGTGCACTGCCAGTGTCGACACTGCCTCCTCCTGTGATGACGAAGTGTTCATAGTTTACACAGGGTGTTGTCCGTTGAGATGCCTTAAGTATTTAACAATCATAATTTATGACTAACTGTAGATACGGTGGCTATTTAATTTTTTTAAAATCATTTTATTTATTTCGACACACACACGCATAAAATTGCTATGATAAGAAACGATTACCTCATCTTCTTGCTTTGCATGCAGCTGTATGAGAATACGCTAAAGGAATATTTAACAAAAAAAAAAATTATTACTGTTAGCGCTACTGCTGCTGCTCTCTGTCAAAGCCTCCCTTTCCATCTTCCAGTGGTGCTGTGGATCTCGCTGACATTCCATCCCATGCAAAACTTGCCAATGCTGTGACATAATATGTAGTGGACAAACTGCGATGGAGTTGACTGGTTCTTTTTTTTTTGTGTGTTTTTTTTTTTTTTTTTGCACTGTTCAGATAAGGGACCCCTCTCACTGGCAACTCTGTGCCTTTCAGGATTACTGCATTTTGTTTTTCCTCCTGTTATTTCCACTTGATAAGCCTTTTTGGTCACTTAATTCAATTAGGTCAAGCCAAGATAAGTGAAAAAGCCATTGAGGTCCCTCAATGGCTTTTTCACTTGAAATCGGGTGAGCATGTCTCATATCAGACAAAAAAAGTGAAAGGACCGTAACCAGATTTGAACAGGAAGCTGGCCATTTTGCTTTGATTTATTTATTTTTTTCAAATTCGAAGGTGCAACGGCACATCAACGGCAACCTCTTTTCAGTTCAATGTCCGGAAGCTTTACATCATGTGGAAATAATGATTTCCAAAAAGGCACGATTTTCTTTTCTTCTTTTTCATCTCTCCTTTGAGTTTCATTTGACAATGTACAGAAGGTTTTTAAAAGCACAACTGCATGTTTTCTCAGGTTTCAATGCACTGATTCAATGGCTTGAGATTGACTTTTTTTTTTCTTTTAAGTATACTCCCAAGTATTCATTGCTTTGGTTGAATGCTGACAATGCACGGAAATATCTCTCCCAAAAGAAAAAGAGTGCCAGTGAAAGGGATACCGCCATCCTTGTGTGTATGTGGTGCGTGCGTGCGTGTGTGTAAATCTGATCAATCTGCTGTTCTAGCCGTGACTGCGCAATGTTTTTCAATATAGGATATTTTATCTGAACATAGATCTATTTATCATTAATATTCAAGCAATAGTGCGTTAAATGGTGACGCGTGTGCGCGACGTGGATGAGAATATTGCGAATAAGTGTTAGATTCACGCGTGGTGGAGTTTTTTTGTACCTTATTTATTCTTACTACTAATGATGATTAATTCAAAAAGTGGCATTGCTAAACCCAAACTTCTTTTTTTGTTTGTTTTTGTTTTGGAATTGTTTCATGGCTTGTATATTATCCTTTTGTATGTGCTCTTTTTGTAATAAAATGGGGAAAAAATGTCCTGCCTTTAGTGGCATGTGTGAATGATACAGTAAGTGTAATTTGAGAAATTACATTAAAAAAAATGTTTATTATATAATGGAGTAGTAAAGTAAGCAAATGGAAAGTCACAAAAAATATTTGTCATATTTCACTTGGTTTTGTTAAACTATTCCAAACATTGGTATTAATATGAAAATAAAATATTGTTCTTTTTAGGTCATAAAATGAAAAGAATAAAATAATAAGAAAAAAATTTGAATATTAGAAGAAAATGTTTTTTTTTTCCCACAGCTTGTTTTTTTCCTTTCTTCTTTGTCACATGCATGGACACACGGGTGGAAAAAAAAAGGCCTTAAAATTGCAATTATTTAATTGCTGATACAAAACTTGACAATCCAGCAAAGCAACTAAAAAGCTTCTGGAGACCTACGGCTCAAACAAAAATGGCACCCCCCCTCCCCCCACCCGACAGAAGGAAAATAATCCGACACCTGCACCATATTCTTGATCATGTAAATGCTCAGTTGGCTGAATCAAAAAAAATGGCGCCAGACTGCGTGTTCAGTATTTAGGGTAGAGGACTCTGGCTATCCGTCCGTCTGCCCTCTTGGTATCCAGCCACTTGCCGCAAAGGAAAATGGTGGTGACCCCGTTGGCCGTATTGGTGACCTCCACGCGGTCCAGCAGCCAGCTGGGATGCAGGCCCGAGTTGTCGTGCTCCACTCGCACTTTCTGCAACTCGCCCATGTCCAGCATCTCCAGCACGAAGCGGTCCGTCCGATCGCGCTCGAAGAGGTTGCGGAACCTCTGCCGCAGCCGTCGCCGACCCGAATCGCCGTTGGTGCCGAAGACGGTGATGAAGACGTTGGCGTCGGTGCCCGCTCCTTTCTCATCGCCCGTGATGACGATAATCTCGTACTTGACGGGCACCAGGCCGCGGGACTTGCTGGCAAAGCTCTCGATGGCTTTGGTGCACTCGAAGGTCAAAAAGTCATCTCTCTTCGCCGACAGCGGGACCAACGCGTCGCAATGGAAGATGTACCTGACGGTGAAGAGAAAAACAAATTTTTTTTTTTTTTTTAGAAGAAAATCTGTTTCAAATTTGATATTCACGGTAAGCATGCTGTTTTATTGTGTGTTTAATATCGTATTGTTGCCTTCTATAAACGTGCCAAGTTTGCGGGACTGACCGCCAGTGGGCTTTTTAAACGTGGCCCTTACTTGTTGCCCAGTTCTCTTTCAGTGACCACCACCTCCACCACATGCCAGTGAAGCGCCGTCTTGACTTTCTTTCCGTCTTTGGATGCGTGGCCAACGCAGATGCTGACGATGTCGCCCAGGTGCTTGGACGTAAACTCAAAACTGTCAACGTTTCCCCTAAAAAAAAAAACAAAAAAAAAACGGGAGTGGCGGCTTATGGTTTGTTCAGTCTCCATTCTCGTTTTCAGGTTCACGAGGAAGCTGGATTCTATCAATCTCGGCCAAGTTGAATCGGATGCAAACGGACGACTGGCTAGCAGAGTATCGGGAGTCTCATTCGAGTACCTACCGCATAAAACGCCTCTTCTTCGACGAGTTCTCCATGAAGAACTCTTTTGAGCAACCTTTCCTCCCCTCCAACACCATCCAAACGTTCTCTTTGGTTTCGGCCTCTGCCGCGTCTCCGGTGGTGACGCAAATTTCGTACCCTTGGAGACAAGGTACGAAAGGTAAGTCACGACACGCGTTAAGCATCGGAGAAGAACGTGTATTTATTTTTGTTTGTTTACTGGTTTTCTCGTCAAGGTCCAAGTGTTCGTTGTTGGCGCACGCCAGCTCCCTCATGATCTGTCCATCGCCGTCATTTTTGGCGAGCCAGCGATCGCAGGGGAAACGGAAGGTCTTGTCCATGAGCTCGTCCTTCACGTCGATGCAGTCCAAATGCCATCCTGGCGCCAGACCTGCATGTGATGGGATCGGGAAGCCCGCAGGTAAAAAAAAAAAAAAAAAAGGTCGATCGGAGATGTTTTCTCCGCGAGGCTAACCTGTGTTGTCGTGCCACACTCTGATTTTGGAGAGGTCACCCAAGCTCAGGATGTCTGGAAAACGGAAGGTGTCCACCTGCTTGCGCTCAAACTTGTTGGACCGGTTACACTCTTTCAACGCCAAGGTCCCCGTGTCGCCATTCTCGCCGAAAACAATGACCCAAACGTTGGCGTCGGTGCCAGCCCCTGGAGAGGACAAGACCGCGACTCCCCAAAGGGAGAACAAGAGTCACCGGCCATTTAAAGGAGACGTTCGAATCGAAGAACGGAGAGTCGAATGCCAGCAACTTGTCTGAATGACTACAAAACGTTTCATCTGCTTTGGAGCCCAGCCAGCCGCTACCTCAATGTGCAACTTTTATTTCCTTGCTAATGTTTGCAACGACGGATGAGAAATCATCTGGCTCCAGTCTGTAGAAATCATAGACGACATCGAGCCATTGACATCAAACGACGTAAGACGCACCTGCGACGTCACCGGTCTTGACCTGAATCACGTAGGTGGTGAGCTCCGCCATCGTCTCCTCGTCCACCACAGCAGCCATCTCGCAGATCATCGTCCTTCTGGGTCCACGCGTCCTGGAGAGCCACTCCTCGTAGGTGAACGCGGATACTTCCCCCGTGGTCAGGTTGCGCAGGGTCACCTGGAGAAAGTCGTTCATCGTCTGATCACAGCAGAAAACTCGGGATTATCAACGGAGAGCAAATCCCGTTTGGACCCCGAAGTCTCCTGGCTGACGAACACGTTTTGGCCGAGGGGCGGACCAACCGTATCGAGGAACCAATCGGGTCTGCTGCCTGAGCCGTCGATGCGCAGCCTCATCTTTCTGAGCGGGGCGATGTCATCGATCTCCATGTTGAAGGTGTCCTCTTGACCGCGCTCAAACCTGAAAATCAGTTCTGAAACTCGATTCTGAGGTTGCAAAAAAAAGGAAACAAAGGTCTCACCTGTCCTCGTTCTTCTGCAGCAACATTTCCTCAGTGCTGCCGTTGGCACCGAACACCGTCATGAAGATCTCGGTGTCTGTTCCTGCGTTTTGGACGTCGCCCGTTACCACGGTCACCTCATAAATGACCTGCGAGAGGACGATAACTGCTTGTTAGATTTGAGATACAAGATGCATCTGCGTGGAAGTCGGAACTTGTCACACACTTTCTGGGAGATGGAAACGGCTTCTGCGTCCAGCACGTTGAAAACTCTGGCGGTCAGGCCGTCACCGCGATCTTTGGCCAGCCAGCATGCGCAAGCAAAAATGTATTTGACCCCTTTGGTTGGCACGGCAACGGAGAGCTCGTCGACCAGCCAGCAGCTCTCGGGAGTGGCACCGTCATGGCCGAGCTGCGGGAAGGGACGGACGGGTATTGTGGGCTCAGTTTTAGGGATTTGGGATTCGGGTGAGTGAGCGGGTGGACGCTCACCTCAACCTTTTTGATCTCCCCCACGTCTGAGCCGTGGCACTCGAAGCTCTCCAGGGATCCGGCCCGGAAGCCTTTCCTCCCATCCGGCGGATCCAACCACAGCCTATCCGTGCGGCCGTGATTGGCCCCGATGATAATCACGTAGGCCCTGCTGGTTGTGCCGGCGTCTCGTTCCAGCCCGGTGCACAACGTGACGTGGTACGGTATGACTGCGCAGGAAAGTTCTGCTTCAAAACCGTTTGCCGTTGGTCTTAGGCGGGAAGACTGATCTTCCTTACCGGGGAGTTCCTCTTCTTCCTCTTCCTTTTTTTTACTCTTTTTATTCATATTGTTGTCAACGCTCTTCAAGGTTGACTTATCCTTGACATTCAGGGTCTCCCGGGCGCCCTCGTAGCCCTGGAAGGAGACACAGGAACACAGGAACACGGGATTGAAACTGAAACGCTCGCCAGATGAATAGGTGCGGACTGAGACCGGAGCCGAGTGGGACGCCGACGGAGATGATCTTGATGTTTTGAAATGGAGCGTATCTGTCTCATCGTTCTAAGGAAGCAAGTGGTCTAACCTTCATGTAGAAAACTCTCTGGATGCGACGGTCCTCCCTCTTCCTGGAGAGCCATCGCTCGCACAAGAACAGGAAGACCTCCTCCGTGTCCACATCGAGAACCTCCACCTGGTCCAGGTACCAGTCGGCGCTCATCATGCTGTTATCGTGGCGAATCTTGATCTTGAACACCTGACCCAGGTCCACGGCCTCGATGGTGAACTTGTCCACCTGCGACCACGGGGGAAGGCTGATTGCTGCCGTGTTGTTTCATCGCGTCGTCGGCGTTTCCTTACAGATCCTCGCTCAAATTTGTTGCTGTTGTTCTCCGACTTGCTGAGCTTCCGCTCGCCCGTGTCACCCAGCTCGCCGTAGATGGTGAGGAACACGTTGGCGTCGGTGCCCGCCCCGTACACGTCGCCGGTCATCACGGACACTTTGTACGTGTGCGCTGCGCTCGAATGTGAGAGGACCGCACGAGTCGGTCAGAAGATTTTCCGTGGACAGCTTATCATCTCAAATGTGACATCGTGACGCGTTTGTCGTACTCTCCAGGGCGTCCTCCACCTCCACCTCGTTGATCTTCAGGCTGCCGTCCCGCGACAGCTTCTCGGTGATGATGTCGGAGGGCACCAGCTCCCTCACCGTCTCGCCGTCGTCCTCCGACTTGGCGAGCCAACGCTCACACGGGAAGATGACCGTCTCCGAGCCCTGCAATAAAAAAATAGGTCACTCAGCCTGGCTTGCGGTGGGGGGTGGTGGGGGGGGGGGACTTATTGACAGTTCTCTGCGACTAGCTGCACCTTTCCCTTTCTGAGCAGACGTCGGATCTCCACTCGGTCCAGGTGCCAACCCGGGTTGACCCCGCGGTTGTCGTGACCGATGCGGAGCTTCTCGATGACCTCTCCGACGTCCTCCAGCTTCAGCGAGCGGGTGAGAGAAGCGTTATAGCGGCATACGAACATACTAACCCGCTTTCCCAACGTATTGGGAACAAAACTGCAAGTATATGATGCCAAAAAAAAAACAACAACTGTGTTTTGTATTTTTGACAACAAAAACAACTGTAAACTGCAGATCCCCACGATAGAGTGGTGACTTCGGTACTCCCGTACCTCGACGATGAACATATCCTCGGCTCCCCTCTCGAAGTACATCATCCTCTCCCTCTTGTTGACGCACAGACGCTTCTGCTGCGTACACACGGCATCTCTTCCGTACAGCACCACAAAGACGTCCGCATCGGTGCCCGCTCCGAAAACGTCACTCGTGGAGATTTTGATCTCGTACGGGACAACTTAGAAAGACCAAAAAAAAAAAAAAAAAAAGGAGCAAATATGTCAGAGGGAAGAACATGAAGATTGTTGAGCAGTGGCGGTCGTACATGGCATGTAAAGTTCAGTTTGGAGATTATTGGGAAAAAGATCCCTGGAGATGGCGCCGTCGTCCTCGCCTTTGTCCAACCAGCGTCCGCACGGGAAGCGAAGTTTCTGCCCTAGCGAAGGAGCGTCAATCTCCACCCAGTCCAGGAACCAGCCTGCCGAGCCTCCCCCTGGACATACACGGTGACCAAAACCGACAGTCATTTCTGGCGGGGAGGTCTTACCAAGTCCCATCCTCTGTCCCATCACAAAAAATCCAAATCAAAACACACAAGCCTTTTCGGCCAATGTTTCAAGCACCAAAAGTTTCTACGCACGGCTTGAAAGCACCACCGGGATTGCTTTTCTTTTTCTGTCGTTTTGCAAGTGTGGCAGTACCGCGGTTGTCGTGTCCGATGCGTAACTTTTTGAGCGGCCCAATGTCCACCGCTTCCACGGTGAACTCGTCGATCATCCCCCGCTCAAATTTGTTCTTGTGCGTCTTGGAGGCCTTCAAGTTAATGATCCCTGGAGGTTTCAAGAGAGGCGGAACATTCGGTAAAAGGGCATTTGGATCGCGGAAACAGTGATGGGGTCACTCCAAGCGGTGAGATTTTTCGCATATAAAGTATAAGCTTTGGCTCACGAAGCGTACCGAATGAAGTGGCCCACCTGTGTCATCCTTAGTACCGTACAACGTCATAAAAACGTTGGCGTCCGTCCCAGCGTACTTCTTCTCCCCGGTTTTTATCCTCACCGTGTACGTGGTGGACATGGCTGTCGTGACAAGCGCCCTGTTTAATGTCAATATTTATTTCCTTGATTCGAATGACGGTGGTCTCGCCTTTCTGCTCCAGGCCCAGCGTGGCGTCGGAGTCACCGTCGTCATCCTCGTCGTCGCCTTTCCTCATGAAGGCTTCATCGACAGGGACCAGCTCCCTGGCCAGCTGCCCGTCGTCCTCGTCCACCGCCAACCATCGCTTGCACGGGAAGAAGTACCTGCAACGCAGTAATGTGCATCTGCCAGGTTCTTTTCAAATGATTTGGACTTGAATGCATCACCATCATCATCATCATTCTATACTCTTATCATAAATATCTTTTCCTGAATTTAGTTGAGGCTTTGAAGACTTGACAATCGGCCCTGACACGAAAAGCGTTCGCCCAGGTCTGCTTTGATGGGTGTAGTACCATTTGCTACCACATCGGGGTGCTGCACAACATTTGATGTGCATGTGAATGAAGCTCAGGACGTTAGAAGCGGTGTTAAAAAATTATATGCATCATATACTCATCTTTGCTTTTAGAGCAGACGCTCTTTATGTATATTTGTGTGTATGTACATGTAATATTCATTTTCAAAATATTTCTAAAATAATTCAACATTTTACATGAATAAAATAGCGTTTTTCGGTAAAGACGATGCAAAATTCTGGGAACAAAAGTTGATTTCTTTTAGTTATTTATTTGGTCGAGTAATAATTTTTCAAACTAATATTTTAAAAAAGAAGAGACTTAACCGATTGAAATGTTCATTCAAATAAAAAGTAAATAAAATAAAATTTAAAAAAAGTCAGATGCTCTATTTATTTATTATTTCGTTCATCCATTTGGAGTACTACAATATATACAAAAATACTAGTTTTTATGTTATTCATTTAATTAAAAACATATTTCCAGAAAAAAAAATCATCTTAAAACAATTAAATCGTTTCCATGAAAAAAAAGTTGAAAAAGTATGGGGGGGTTGAACAATGATTTATTCAAAACTATTGTTGAACATTATTTTATTTATTTTTGTTACAGCATGTTCGCTCCCTCGAAAGGTGCTCTAAGCATCCGAGCGAATATTATCCTGCCTACTACGCGGCACATGATTTCTTATGAGTGGCTTACGTGGTGTCATCCTTGTCGTCCACAATCTCCACCCTGTCCAGAAACCAGCCCGCCCCAGCCTGGCTGTTGTCATGTCGGATCCTCAGCTTCTTCAGAGCGCCCAGGTCCACGGCCGTCAGGCTGAACCTGTCCTCCTTGCGTCACACACACACACACGCATGCACGCACGCACGCAGGGTTCGATTTCGGCTCAGGCCTTGCTGTGTGGAGTTTGCATGTTCTCCCCGCCCCTGCGTGGGTTTTCTCCGGGTACTCCAGTTTCCTCCCACATTCCACAAACATGTTAGTGTGTCACCGCAAAGGTGAGTTTACCTGGCCTCTCTCAAATTTATTCAGGTTGTTGGACTTCCTTAAGCGGCGCTCGCCCGTGTCACCGGTTTCGCCGTAGACGTTGATGTAAACTTTGGCGTCGGTGCCAGCCCCCCACGGATGCCCCGTGAACACGTGCACCTCGTAAGAGTTCACTGTGGCAAACCGAAGCGTTAAGCGTGTGACATTTCCGTTGCTTCGGGAATCTGTCGGTACATTTACCCTCGAGGTCTTCATTGTCGTCAGGCAGGAGCTCAACCACGATCTCCCCATCCTCTTCGTCCCTGGCCAGCCAGCGGTTGCAAGGGAAGCTGAATGTCTCCACCACCTCGCGCAGCTCCTCCACCATCTCCACCTCCTCCTCTTCATCTTTCTTCTTCTTCTTCTTATCCTTTTTCTTATCCTTCTTGCCGTCCTCCCGCTTCACCTCCACCTGCACCACGGCCGTCGTCAGGCGCTTGATGTCCACCGACTCCACGAACCAGCCGTCGCCGATGCCCCTGCCATCGTGGTAGAGCCGCAGCTTGTAGATCTTGCCCACGTCCTGAGCTTCCAGCTGGCAAAATGGAAGGCGAGCGGTCGAGGCGTTTCATTGGATCGCCAAACACAAGCGGAAGTTGCAAAAGTACTCGTGCAGATACCGCCAATTAAAGTGATATCATGAAACGTCGTGAAAATAAATCGGGCCGGTCTGAGATACTGACCTTGAAGATCTCGGTGGTACCGCGTTCAAAGTTGTTGGAGCGGCTCTTCAGGGGAAGAACTTCAGTTTTGCCGTCGTCACCATAAATCTGACAGAAGACGTTGGCGTTGGTTCCGCTTGTGCGCACATCCCCCGTGACCACGCTCACTTCGTAGTTGATCACTGTGCCGGGAACATATGTTGTTAGTGTTTTTGGGAGGGGGGGCTGGAACAAATTGATGGCATTTCTATTCATTTCAGTGGGGAAACATCATTTGAGATGCAACCGTTTGGAGTTCCAAGTGTGGTCGTGAAATTCATTCAAGATCACTGTCAACCTGTTGTATGATGACCAAAAAGACGTCGTTTAACCGCGGTCGTTGTTTTTGATTGTGTAATTCAGATCTTAGGGACTTAAAAGGTGGAACAAAAAAAGGACAGCGGCGATGTGAATGATGCGGAAAATTGTTCAGAATCAAACTGGTAAGTTAAGGTACGGCCGTATTAGCCGTTAAGATTTGATTATTTACTTTTCTCCAAGTCCAGGATCTCGCTGGGATAGATCTCCACCTCTACTTTGCCGTCAGCCTCGTCCTTGCAGAGCCAGCGGTGACTTGGGAACATGTACTGCTTGCCCTGGACCGGCACCGAGATCTGAACACTGTCCAGAAACCAGCCGGCTCGCAGGCCTTCGTTGGTGTGGCCGATGAGGAGTCTATTGATCTGCCAAGACGTGCCAAAGATTTGAGGCAAGGTTAGAATCGTTTGGGATTTTTCATTAGTTTTTGTTTTTTTATCGCATATCACCTTTTGGTTTTTCAAATTCGGTTCATTTTAATTCCTTTTTAGAGCAAGTGTTTAATTTTTCTCCCAAATGCCAATTTTAGTAGCATTTTTTAATATTAGTTTTAGTATTAGTTTTAGTTTTTGCAATATAGGTTAATAAAACCTTCATATCGCATATCACCTTTTGGTTTTTCAAATTCGGTTCATTTTAATTCCTTTTTAGAGCAAGTGTTCAATTTTTTTCCCCCAAATGCTAATTTTAGTAGCATTTTTTCATATTAGTTTTAGTATAAGTTTTAGTTTTTGTAATATAGGGTAATAAAACCTTCAAAAGGTACCATAAAAAAAAGCTCTGTTAGGACTTGAAAAAAAAAAGTGGTTGCGGTTAGATGATTTTGATAAAATTCTCAATGTAGTAATCGCTTGATTGCTGTTCCACTGCTATCATCATATTAACGAATATCATAGATTATTTGACGAAAATTAACAAAAATCTTTTCAGTCCTATATATATTTTTTGGTTATTCCATTTGTTTTTCCTGAACCGTCATTGTGAAAACAGGTGGACTTTTCTGAGCGCACCTTTCCGATATCAAAGGTTTCTATGGTGAAGATGTCGGTGCGACCAGTCTCAAAATAATTCCTCAGGTCGTTGTCCGAAACTGCCAGGGTTATCTTGCCAGTGTCGCCCCGCTCGCCGTAAAGCTTGACAAACACCCGAGAGTCGGAGCTGGCCCCGTTGACGCTGCCTGTCTTGATGGCTATGTGGTAGCTGACATCTGCAAGGGGAGGTGGAGGGAATTGCGAACAACCTCGAGTAATTGATGCCCCCGAAAAATATTTATAATCTGCTAAACCTGCTCATGCAGTTGCAAAATATAAGTAGAATACAAACTCACCGCAAAAACTACAATAAAAATAAACAGCTTACAGATGATGTAACTCTCCCCGCTAACAACCCAGGTCAAACTTGGCTTCTCCCCATCATGCAAAGCTTGTCTCTTAGTCAAGAGGTATCACTTCAACATACTTTTGGACATCATTGTACTCATTTTCTGTTAGTTTTGGAGACATCTACCGATTGAGGACGTTCAGAAACCAGCACAAAAGGAATACGTAAGGTTTCAACGAATACCTATTTCCCACAGGAAAAAAAAAAGCACAAATAGGTAATGTGTCGTAAATATTGAACGGCAAATATGCCTGGGATTACTGTACCCACTAAAGAGACGCAGGCCTTCTCCAGCTGGAACCAATTCACGGACGATCTGCCCGTCGTCTTCGTTGCGGTCCAACCACCTGATTGGAGACACATTCGTGTTGGCCCGAGGGGGTTTTCAATCTTACAAATCCATCTCTTAAATGAGAACGTGATCAATCCCAATAACAGAATACCAGACGGGATACTTTCCAGATGTAACGCGGCACTGCAGCTTGGCCGCTGGGCTCCGATTACTGAAAGAGACAGCTGTCCGACGGCCGTACATTTAGTCCCTATTTGGAAAGCGAAACCCATCCATCAACCGCCTAACGACTTAATGGCATGCAACTGGAGAGCTGTGTAACCCCGTGCAGGCCCAATTTACTGCTCTTATCGGGTCCTTTGGATCTTTTGTTTGGAAGCGCAGGAGGTCAGGGGGCTTAGATGCGTTAAGAGAACAAGAGAATTAGTACCAATGACATGGCACTCATGCCTTTTTGGAGCTTGCGTTTTGCATTGAGGCACAATCATGTTGGGACTTCTCAAATCGGAAGCATCTTTGTTGAAAAAAGTTGGCCTTGCCTGTAACATGGGAACTCGATGGCGACTGACTCTGGCTGGCCTTCCTCCCTCACCGTGACCTTATCGAGAAACCAACCGCAGCCTCCGCCTCGGCCATCGTGTCCGACTCGCACCCGGTGGATGCGGCCCAGGGACGCGGCTTCGATGAGAAACTCGTCGTGCTGAAGGGAAATACGGAGAGTAAAAAAAAAACAAAAAAAAACGCCAGTATGAAGCGAACGTCAGGAGCGTTGGCCAGACATACGTTGCCCTTTTCGAATTTGTTGACGGACGGGATACTTTCCAGATGTAACGCGGCACTGCAGCTTGGCCGCTGGGCTCCGATTACTGAAAGAGACAGCTGTCCGACGGCCGTACATTTAGTCCCTATTTGGAAAGCGAAACCCATCCATCAACCGCCTAACGACTTAATGGCATGCAACTGGAGAGCTGTGTAACCCCGTGCAGGCCCAATTTACTGCTCTTATCGGGTCCTTTGGATCTTTTGTTTGGAAGCGCAGGAGGTCAGGGGGCTTAGATGCGTTAAGAGAACAAGAGAATTAGTACCAATGACATGGCACTCATGCCTTTTTGGAGCTTGCGTTTTGCATTGAGGCACAATCATGTTGGGACTTCTCAAATCGGAAGCATCTTTGTTGAAAAAAGTTGGCCTTGCCTGTAACATGGGAACTCGATGGCGACTGACTCTGGCTGGCCTTCCTCCCTCACCGTGACCTTATCGAGAAACCAACCGCAGCCTCCGCCTCGGCCATCGTGTCCGACTCGCACCCGGTGGATGCGGCCCAGGGACGCGGCTTCGATGAGAAACTCGTCGTGCTGAAGGGAAATACGGAGAGTAAAAAAAAACAAAAAAAACGCCGGTATGAAGCGAACGTCAGGAGCGTTGGCCAGACGTACGTTGCCCTTTTCGAATTTGTTGACATTGTTTTTGCTCATGATCATGAGTCTCTCGCCGGTGTCGCCCAAGTCGCCGATGACGTTGAGGAAGACGCTGGCATCGGTGCCGCCGCCGCTGATGTTGCCCGTGCAGATGGTGATGCGATACTTTGTCACTAAGGCACAAAACCAAAAACCAACAGCTTAATGATTTAAAAAAAATAAATTAAATTGTTCCACTCATCCATTTTTTTTTTTTTTTTTGGGCGCACTTGTCTTTAATAGGATTGCGGCTGAGCTGGAATCTTTTGCAGCTGACTTTGGCTGAGATTCAAACCCCCGAACATGAGATCTGTGTGGCAGGCATGCTAACCACCACAGCTACCGCTTCCCCCAACAGAATCAATTGGTGGGGTCCATCTTGAATGAAATGTTAACTTGAAACCTGCCAGTTGACCGAGTTGTATGAACTCGTTTCGTACATGGTAGCGGCTCCCCACAAAGCGCTCCGGTCGCCGGCAGCTCTCGTACGATCTCGTTGTCGTCTTCGTTGACGTCGAGCCAACGGCCACATTCGAACTTGTATTTCTCCATTGTCAGGGTCTTCAGTAAAGTAATCTGCAAAACAAAAAAATCACATGCCACAAAAAAAAAATTTGTGATGGGCCAAATCTGGCTACCGGGTCTTGACTTAATCGCACCAAAAACTGAAAAGCCCTCACCCGCCCTAAGTGCCAGCCGGCAAACGGATGCCTCTTCTCGTGCCAGATGCGCAGTTTTAAGAGTCGTCCAATGTCAGGCAGTGCCGCCGCTGATGTTGCCCGTGCAGATGGTGATGCGGTACTTTGTCACTTAGGCACAAAACCAAAAACCAACAGCTTAATGATTAAAAAAAAAAAAAAAACGAAATTGCTCAAAAAAAAAAATGGAAACCCTCAGATAAAATCTGAAAGTCATTTTAGCAGTCGATGGTTTAGTGGTCAAAATAATCCGAGGATTACCATGAATTTATCTAGACGACCCTGCTCAAAACTATCTGAATTATTTTCCAGCTTGATCTCATCCGATTTGCCGCTCTCGCCGTAGATCTGCAGAAAAACCTGGGCGTCGGTACCCGCGCCCTTCAGGTCCGAGGTCCAGATCCACAAGGACCACGGGTACTCTGTAGCACAAACCCGGTAAGTAAATGAACTTGAAGAATTGAATCACGGGTCGTGTCTGTTAGCCTGATGGACTTCACTCTTCTGCTTCCTCTGGCGGAGAGAAACCATCTCGTAGAGCTCTCTCTCGACGAGTCCATCGCCCTCGTCCTCGTCCAGCCACATCCCGCACGGAAATGTCTGCTCCACCCCCGTGAATGGACAGTAGATGACCACCTAGATGAGAAATAGCCATTTGGTGAAAGAGGTGAGCAATGTATGGCTCCCGGGTCACAGATGGCCCGCTCCGTTAAAAAAAAAAAAAAAAAAATTATCATCAATTCATCCCATCAAATAAAAAGGTAAAATGGTATTTTATGGTATTAAATAATTGGAAGGTTTGTTTCTTGGAAATAACGATACAAAAATATGAATACATTTACATCTATTTATTTTGTTGAATAAGTGGTTGATGTAAATAACACTAGAAAAAAATTGAGAATTTATTCATTTATTTTTGTAAATAAAAATAGTACATTGAAATAAAAATTTTAATTATTTTTAAAAAAAAATCATTATTCCATTTATTCATTGTATAAAATAACATTAAAACAAATATTTGGGAAAAAAACTGTTTTTCACAGACCTTTGGTGCTTTTCAATGTATTTAATTCAATAATTTTGATATGCGAAGTCAATATTTCATCAATGTGTGTCAAAGTATGTCACGCGTAACTATTAGAGCCTTTCAGTAGTTTGTGTGAGAGAATGTGAATGTTTTCTGGGTATTACATTTGAGTGTGTGTTAGCCTTTTAGTCGTGGATTGTGAGTAGAAAAGAAGTTCAGTGACATAGGAAAGCGTTTTAGTTGTGGTCATGTGAAAGAGGGGAACGAAATCAGTAACATGTGAGAGCATTTAACGTGAGTGAGTGCATTTCTGTAGTGTTTGTGAGAGCAATTCAGTTGTCTGTGAATGACCAGTCGTATGTGCGAGAGCCTTTCACGAGACAAAAAAGTGTTTCCGTAGTACATGAGAGAGGAACTGAAGGCCGTGTGTGAGAGGATTTCAGTCGTGAGCGTTGTAGCATTTTCACTTGAAGCATTTCACCAGTGTGTGAGTGTTTGACAATGTTTCAGTAGTGCACGAGTGCAAAAAAAACAAACCCGCAGTCGTGTGTCAAACTCTTTTAGTAGCATTTGTGAGTGAATTCTGATTCAATCGTGCTAGTGAGAGAGACGTCGTACCTTCTCGCAATACCAGCCGGCGCCCACGGCCCCGTTGTCGTGCCCGATGGTGACCCTGCTGAGGGGGCTGATCAGCTCGCAGATCTCCACATTGAAGATGTCGATGAGGCCGCGCTCGAAGGCGCCGCCCTCCAGAAAGATTTTACCGCTGTTCTTTAAGCCCTTGGAGCCGTGCATGACCATGTGAATTTTGGAGTTGGTGCCCGCGCCGCGCACGTCCCCGGTCATCACTTGAACGTTGTACACGATTCCTGACGGCCAGAAATGTGTTGAGATATGCATCCAATCGTCTTTTACCAGAGAGACTTCTATGCTGTAGGTTTTCTTTTTCTTCTTCATGACATATTTTTTTGACTGGTGCAACTCCGGAGTGACTTATTGTCCGAAAAATGCGAAAAATGGATTCTTGATTACGTTCAGGTGAAAGAACTGAGCCATACTTTGCTTTCTTGGGTGCGAGGCCGCGTGGTACGCTCACCCATTGGCTGCAGTGAGCCGACCAGCACATCTCTCTGGATTTTGCCATCGTCTTCATCCATAGCAAACCAGCGATTGGCGGGGAACTCGTACACTTCCTTATTCCCGATGTCATCGATAGCAACCTGAACAGACAAAACGGAACGAATGTCAACACGAGTTTCAAGCGAAGACGTCGGTCCATGATGAGCAGAGCTGCAGGGATTGCGGCTATGCTAACTTTAGGGGGGACCAGCCAGGACATCTCTCATGTTGCGTTCATGTTAGCATTGAGCTAAATTTAGCCTGGGTGTTTGCGGAATTTCTTTGCCGCATGATGCACGTTCGTGTGAATTTAATTTCTTTGTAATCTTTGTTTCGGGTTCATAGTTTGCGGTATATTCACCGTTAGGCAAGGTGATCGATTATTTCTGGTTTTTCAAAATTCTCATCAGGGCGTGGAACAGAATAGCAGTACCACGTGCCTTGTTTAGGAACCATCCAGCGGATGAACCTCTGTTGTTGTGGCCGATGGTGATCTTCCTCAGCCTGCCCAGGTTTGGGGCCTCGATGGTGAACTTGTCCTCAGAGCCACGTTCAAAGTTGTCCTTGTCGCTGTCCAGCCGCCGCTCACCTTCAATGAGCCGTAAAAGAAGGCGCTGAGAGAGAAAAAACGTAAACGTGAGAGAGTCAAGCAAACGTTTCCCCACCTGTGTCGCCGTGCTCTCCAAAGATGTTGAGGAAGACGTCAGCGTCAGTTCCGCTTCCCTTCATGTCGGCAGTGAACACGCTCACTGTGTATTTGTTTACTGTAATGATCAATAGTACGCAGTTCAGTACACAAAATCCGTGCATAGGTAGTCGTGAAAACTATTTTTCCCCCCTCAATTCATCATTGCTTATCTGTGTAGTAAACCAAGATCAAATTTGGTAGTATTCAGACAAAAAAATGCCAGACTTCCTGTCAATAACGAAAGCTAATTCAATTATGGTTTCTGGTCTGTTTCATGAGTATGATTTTCTCTCCAGCGTCCAGACGCCTATTAATTTTCCTGCTTTTTTGCCTTTCAAAGTTGGACCTGCTTAGTTTTAACGGGGTTCCAGCCAGTCTCCTGTGAATAGTGTAGTCAATCACCCAAGTACTTAATTCTGATTCCATGCTAATCTTAGGTTAGCTTAGCTAATCGTATGACTTCTTCAACTTTCCTCGTCATCAAGAGAACAATACTTGTCAGAGGTTGGCTTACTTTCCGCCATGAAGGCGATGAATACCGACTTAAGAGTGACTTCGTAACTTGATTAGTCGCACAAGTAGCCGGACAAAGCTCGTCGCTAGCTAATAGTGTGTCACAAGTCGATAGCTCACATCGGTGATGTAAGACGATAACGTGCGCTTGTCTAGCTCCGTGAAACTTTTTCAGACCGTGTGTGCAGTTCAACGATCAGAGAAGCTTTAAAGTCAAAAGTAATTCTCAGTTTTGCTATTCAAGGTGTTTTGATGAGGTGTAAAATGCTAACTTTGACTCGCAAACTGCAATGTGAAGCCACATATTTCGAGCCTTTATGTCACTAAGTTAAACCAACTTTGGCGGCTGAATTCAAAATGTGATGTTGCGGCCCAAATAACGCTCAGGTTTTGATTGACATTTTTGAAGAGTTCATTTCATTAGATCCGTTTATTTTGAACTGTTGTTGTAGTTTGTAGCGCAGCCGTGTACAACCACGTCTACAGAAGTTAAAGAGAAAACACTCAGCATGGGTTACGTTACGTAACGCAGCGTAGATTACCTTGTTTCACTGATTGTAATTACCTTTCGGATGTGTGGTTTCCCGGTTAAGCTACTTACCGAGCCTCTTACCAGGTTAAAAATTCATAACAGCGGCCGCGTTAAAGCCAATTGCGGTGTCCAAGCGCCTGATTGACTGGAGCACTGCGGCATCGGCTCACAGAGCAACAGAGGACTACGCGCTAATGAAATTTGATGACCAGAATGTACATTGTGCGTGTATTTTGGCCTCACATTTGGGTACGTCCATCTGGTTGAGGCTACCCAGCAGGTCCCTGACAAAAAGGTTGTCGCCTTCCTCGCGGCTCAGCCAGTTGTTGCAGGCAAAGTAGAAGCGCAGGTGAGGCCGGCTCATGTCGGTCACCACCACCCTGTCCAAAAACCAACTGGCATTCATGCCCGTGTTGTCGTGCTCGATCCTGCACAGTGAAGTCGACAGTGAAGTTAACTTTCAATGCAATTATTATTTATTTGTTTTTTGTTTTTTTAAACTCACATATGTGAATCGAAATCTAAATCTGTTGTCAAATAATCATATTTGAATGACTCAGATTATCAATCTGTTATACGCGTTCCTCTATTTTTGCTTAAGAGTTAGCAGAGCTAGCATGGATTTTTTCAAAGTGCATTTTCGGCAACCTTGAACCATATTTTTCTCCATTTTTGAAATGTTATCAGTAAAATTACAGACACGCTTGATGAAGGGATGAATTTCTACACTGTCCCATACGCTGCCCTATGCTATGCTAAAAGATGCTAACACCCGAAAGCAGATGGCGCTTAACCTTCCCACTGCAGGATCAAATCCAGCGAAGTGCTGCACAGCTGGAAAATAAGTGTGACCTCGCCCCTATTAAACTGCCGTTATCCTGCGTCTTTCTGCCTTTTCGAAACCCTCCAGCAACAAGCAACTTTAATCCCCAGTAAAAAACAAACATTTAAAAAAAATAAAAAATTGTTTTGAGTATGATGAGAAAAGAACTGTCACTCGCGCTGAAAATTGCCAATGTTGACATGTTTGCTTGCTTATTTATACATTGTCAAAGAAGGCCCGTACAACTCTAGAAAAAGAAAAGATATTGGCAAAAATTTGAGACTCTACATTTAGGTCGTTTGCCTGAACTTGCGCTTTACCTTAGCTTCTTGAGGGCACCTACGTTGTGCGTTTTGATGCGGAAAACATCTGTCTTATTCTTTTCAAAGGCAGTGCGGCTTCTGCAGAGAAGGAGAGTTCGCATTTTGGCAAACATAACAACAAAACGACCCGTTAAATAAGAAATTATTCACAATCGGATATTTTTTTCAGGCTGCACCCACGTTTTTAAGCTCATCCAGTGGAACCCCCAAAGACACAAGAAAAACAATCAAAATACCCAAAGTGCTCCATCTGATGTGCGTAACTGTATCTTCTTTTGTCATGGGTTTGTTCAAAACTGCTTCTTTCAGAATAAATGTCGCCCCAAAAAGCCAAACAAGAGTCTAACACATGCCAGTCCTTTGATGCTCATAGATTTTTGCAAAATCAGCTTACATCTGGCGTTTCGAACTTCACACCTTTTGCATTGCTTTTGCTTGACTGCCGAGCAGCTACGTTCAACTTCAGAGGTTCCATTGTCTCTGAGCCCGCATCTCCAACATGCAACCCACCAGCCATGCCAAGGGCTTGGATAATTAAAGCGCAAGGAGTCATATACTGAAGAAATGCAAAAGGCTGTCCGACACACATGAATGGCTGCCCTAGATCTGCCATCTGTTAAGAGGGAGAGGGAGGTGGGTGGCACAGTGATTACGGAAACAAAAGCAAAACCCAATGCAAACTTTGGAATTCATGCAACTTGCGAGTTCCAATGAATTTCCAAAGAGTTGCACACCGGCCCACACGACCATATCGTGTTGTTAGTCACACAATACAGCCGCGACCTGATATAAGTACTGGCATATATTGGGAGTAAGGTGAAACTCTTGGTTTGCGCTCGCCGTGTATGCTATTTCATCAGATGCAGTCACACAGCATGGACACAGTGAATACACGGGGGCGCGCACGCCACGACTCGAGGTGTGGCTGACATGGTCCCGCACGGGCCGACAATAAAGTCAGGATGTCCTATTGCGCAGCCAGGTAACCCGATCGTTCAATCAATGTGCGACTGCCTGGCGGTCATTTGATCGTCTGCAGGGCGGGGGGAAAAAAATAAAATCAAATTTGACATCGTGGTCTTCTTCCGTTCGCTTCGGAATGGGGAAGAAGACCTGCCATGTCACGTAGTTCCGCCTTACTCCAAATACTGTATAGAAGAGAGCATCCTGTCGCTATGGCGACCAAACCGGCCTCATTCCGAAGACGCGGCTTGGACGGCAATTTAACCCTTTATTGGGGCAAGGAGACAAATTTAGTAGCTTCCCCAATCTTTTTTTTTTTTTTGCCCCACGGACCGGTTTAATGTCAGACAATATTATCAGAGAACAGCCTTTAAGTTTTATATACTTTTTGTTCTTCTACTTCTCCCTTTGATAATTTTCCTGCTGTAAATCGAGAATTTCTCCCTTTTGAGACAAATGAAGGTTTCTGGTCTTATCTTCTCGCCGCGTATTATGCAGAGTAGGCTTGGTGCGTGGGAATCTCCCCTTGACATAAATCCGTATTTTAAGTATGACTCCCAATACTGTCTATTAAATGTAGCCTTCTTTTTCTTGAAAGTCGTAGAGTCCTCTTCTATCTCCTGGCTCGGCCTTTTTCCTTCCCAAAGAAACTTTCCAAAGACGTTTGTTTTTTCCGCATTTTGCTAGCTCTTGGGTTTCTTTAGCGGTAACCTATCAAGTGACGGAGAAGCGCGCCTTGACTGCGTCACGAGTGACAAGCTATAGATGGTTATAACAGCGAATCCGGTAACCTTTCAAAATAAAACATCTTCAGATTCTGAAATGAATAAAACGGAAGTAATGTATTTATTCTTTCTGTGCGGCTCGATACCAAATGACCCACAGACCGGTACCAGTCCCCGGTCCGGGGGTTGGGGACCACTGGCTTAAACCATAACTCAAGTGTTAAGAGTTCTGTGATGTCAAATTTGCCACCCTGCTTCGCTGGTACTAAATGACTGTACACATCTGTCTCGTATACAAGAATCGTATTTTGGTAGCAATCAGGCAAAATCTCTCGGGTACTGCTTTTGAGGGCTGAATATTCAAAACGAGGGGGATTTTTGCTCCATTATAGACAAATGCATTGTCTGAAGTTGAACTTTAAAGAATTGAAATGCGTGCCCGATAAAGGGTTAAAAAAATGTGGAAATGATATTCAATTAAAAAGGAATGCAATCTCATACAGTGCTACACAATACAAGCCCACACCAGGAACAGAATCTTCAACCTTCAAAGTACCTCTTTTCTGTGCTGAAAAGACCAGAGGGGAATAGAAAATATTCATTAGTTACTTTGCATGATGAAAGACCGCAAGTTGGACCCTTGGAACCCAAACAATTCGGCTAAACCCTGAACCCCCACCAAAAAAATAAATAAATATCCTAAAACTAATACTCACTCCCTAACCTTAGTTCGACTTCCGAGGGTCCACACAAATTGTGAATACAAATAAGACAACCGTTCTTGTATATGCATTGAGAGTCCAAAATCGAAACAATTTACTGCTTACTTGCTGGCCAGATGAACTTTGGGGGTGACACCAAACTCTCCGAAAAGTGTAACGAACACATTGGCATCAGTCCCGGCTCCCTTGACGTCACCGGTGACGGCGACCACCTCGTAGACTAGAACCAGAGGAAGAGAATTTAGTTTTCCAACTGGACCTCCCCTTTCTCCCCAGATGTTTTTTTTTTCCTTGACCTTTGAGACTATTTGGGATTAAGCGCTACATAAATAAATGCTACTTGACTCACCTTTCTTCTTGTAGTAGACGTCTTCATAGCCATCCGATGAGTCTGTGTGGTAGTTCAGCAGCTCGCTCTGATAGATAGCCGCGTAGTCCACATGCTTGTTTTTGGACTTCTTCACTTTTTTCTTTTTATCCTCATCATTTTCACCCGATCCCTTCTTCGCTTTCTTCTTCTTCTTTTTTTTGGAGTCGTCGTCGTCCTCCGCCTCCTCCGCAGGTTCACCTCCCTCATCGTGGGATCCTTTCTTCTTCTTCTTGCCGTCTTTGCTCTTGGTCTTCTTCTCAGCGTCCGTTTTGTCTGGGTTCTCCGCGGAGGATTTTTTCTTTTTCTTCTTCTTCTCCTCCTTCGTCACCTCACTTGCATCTTCTTTGGCGGTTGGGTCGTTGTTGTTCTGCTCACCTTCCTCCTTCTCAATCTCGATCTTTTTCTTCTTTTTGTCTTTTTCCCCTTTCTCCGAGCCCTTGTTGTCGTAACTCTTGTCCTTCTTGCGAGTCTTCTCACTTTTGCCGCTCCTCTTCTTCAACTCGGGCGCTTCCTCCACTTCCTCATCCACCTCGTCGCTTTCTTCTAATAATCTCGAATGTTTCTGTTTGGATGGCATCTTTTCCTTTGCGCTCTTAAGAGCGAGCCAAGGTTTCAACGGAGCCGGGGAAAATCATTTTGAACCCCTGACTGCTGGGAGGTTCTGCATCTGAGTCCTTCGGAGCGGCCTGGAGAAACCGACGGCAAACTTTAGGCATCACTCATGAAAAATTAGCCGCCTTGGCACGTGACCGTCGGGGAGAAAGCCGTGTGAAAAAGGAGCCTTGCACAGAGATAACGTATCCTCACATTCCATTATTCATGGCGTCAGGATCGCTTTACGGGACAGGGGTGTCTCGCTTTTACCTGCGCTTACGCACCCACCGTACATTAACACTGAACATGAACTGCGGGGAGGTTTCCTTTCTAAATAGACGGAAATCGACAGTCAGTCTCCCTTGCTGGGGCGCTCTTCACGTCCGCGGAAGTGATTTTCATGACGGTACAAAGACGATATAGTTTGAGATTCCTATCCTTCCATGACTTTTGGTCAAGAAGCAGGGCATACTGGTCGCCATTCAACTGTAGGACCCCCAAAAAAAAATCATTTACATTCACCCCTGTGAGTTATATTGAGCTTTCCATCAACCCAATATGCAAGGGAATATTTCTTTTAGTTTATTTTTTAAAGCAGAGCATCTACCGTTTGGCTCAAACGTTATCACATGACCAGGAATGGTTGCCGGTTAATTTGTAGAGTAGCATATAAGTCCCAAACGGGAATTGTATGCTAATGCCCAGCCGTGAATTTTCTTACGTACCCCACCAGGTCATCATCCACCCAATTGACGGATAGTTGCGAAATATCAGTCAAACTGTAATAATAGGGAGAAGTTAGAACTGTACAAGAAGACAAAAAGTCAAACCAGTTTATTGACAAACACGTTTCCGCACAGCCACGCGCCGATGATGCAGAGTGGTCCCGGTGTTTTTACTCCCAGTCTCATTTCCAACAGTCTTTTAAAAATAGTGGCGCAAACATTTTGGCGCATAACACATATTTCGTTGGCAAATGATGACATCGTCGACAGGCGACAGCAAACCGATCGGAAAGAAGTACGATGGAGCGCTGCCTAAGTGCGATCTGCTTCCACTAATCGGACAATCTCTTGGACGAAAAGGTTTCCGTGAGTGTAAACTTAAATTCAGTGAGCACTGAAGCAGGCACACGCAAAAGCTTTATCATGCACGAGTATGGAGTGAAGTATACACAGCGAGGAGTCTTCGAGGAGGCCAGAGTGTCTCTTTGATTGATTCGAGGGACGAACTCAGGGAATCCAAATGAGAAGTGCGTATCGGACGGAGAGAATGGAATGTCATAAGGCAGCATAGTTAATCATCGGCGGATTACTGTCAATCAAACAAAAATTGAATCCCATTGTTGCCTGCCGTTGCACAGCTGGAGGACATTTCCCGGTAAGGCCACCGTAAAAGGCCAATTTCAAATGTTCACCCTGTCAATGTGGGGAAACAATCAAATACAAAAGTAGACAACTGGATGCTGCTTTTGGATTTTTTTTGTTTTGTTTGTTTTTTTTACACAACATGGAAGAAAGGTGCCACGCACGCCCGCCGTGTTTGGACGAGTACAGCAACGAGTAGAAAAAAAACCAACCTGTACAGCGGAGCCACTAGAAAACATCACAGCAACGACATCAACATCAAGAAGACCACATGAAAACCACAGTGAATAACAAGCTTCAAATTGGTCTAAAATGGCGTCCATTAAAGGCAGAAACCTTCAGCGGAACCTCCAAAGTTTTCCTCGGCTCGGCGAAAATCAGATTGCTTTTTCTTTGGCTTTTTTTTTAAAATGATGTTGACACAAGAGGATGGCAAGAGATAAAAAAAAAATTCAGGTCACTCTACCAGAAGAAAGAGAGAGTGAAGCATGGTGGTGGCAGCTTGATGGTCTGTGGCTGCTTTGCTACCTCAGGACAAGGACAACTTGCTGTGATTGATTGGACAATGACTTCTGCTGTCTACACGAAAATCCTGAAGGAGAACATCCAACAAACACTCTGCGCCCTCCAATTCAAGCGCTCTTGGATCAATGCAGCAGGACAACGATGTGATACACACGAGCAAGTCCACCTCTGAATGGCTAAAAAATCAAAATTAAGGTTTTGGAGTGGCCCTCTCCCGATCCCCTGCACTTAGTGCAGGTCCACCATCGTAAGTCTTTTAAAAAATAAATGAATACCATTTATAAATACGCATAATTTCTTCTGGGAACATATTGAAACGTGCCATTCTACTTTGGAGGTTCCACCTCAGTGAGATTCTTGCACTTTGAGAAAACCGCCACTTCAGAGCCGGGTTACGCGTTCACGTGCACGGCCCCGTGTGCACGCGCACGATACCGCGGGCGTGCATGTGAATGAAGTTGAAGATCTCGTGCGGCATGGCGTGGAAGCCCGGTCGCGGCTTCACGTTGTCGTAGTAGTGATGCGTGATGAAGATGCCCGACGGGTTCATGGGGAAGGCCCAGAAGCCATAAAGGTGCACCTCTTCGCACAACTCCAGGGCGGCGGTGACCAGCATGAGGCCGCTGCTGAGGCGTTTGGCCCTCACGCCCTGCACCGCCCAGAAGCGCTGTACGTTGAGCAGGTACTGCGGGTGGAAGAAGAAGACGCCGCGCTGCGAGTCAAAGTCATCCAGCATGTACTTGACCCGGAAGGACACGTCCGTGTTGCGCGTGTTGTAGAACGCCGGGAGGACCACCGACGAATTCTCGTAGTTCAGTAGGACGTCGTAAAAGGGACGCCGCCATTTCTCCAGCTTCTGGAACCTAAAAGACGAAATAGGTGTGTGTTATAGGTATGACAGGCGGGATTGGATTTCGGGAAGATGGAGCGTACCTTTCGGTGATGATGCTGGGGTTCACGGTTACCAGGTCCGTTTTTGTGCCGACATCAGACGAGTATTTCTCACTGATGGGCGGTATATTGCATCTAGGACAAAAGATAAAAGACTTTATCAACTCAACTTTATTTGTTGAGAACTTTAAAAATAAGGCGAGGTTTTTATACGGCACAACCTTCTATCAACAATTCACATACGCCCCCCCCCCCAAAAAAAATCTAAGCATTGTTTTGATCATTGATATTCTAGCACCCAATATAAAGTTTTAAACAATTTAATTTTTAGCTAATGTATTTTAAAAAATCCAATAGAAACATACTTTCTACTATGCAGGTATAATATGAAGAGAATATATCAGAGCCATTGCAGGACAGCTTAGAATATTTCACGTCAGCTGGAAAGTAAGATTTTAGCGTTAACAAAACGAATTTGACAAATGGGCCCACAGCGGGAGCCGGCAACATGCCAGTCATCAGTTCTAAATTAAAAAGTCTGTCATTGTTTCACCCAGGACGGGGAAACTTTTAATTGGAAATGTGTTATCTGTGCAACATACAAGGGAAAATAAAGATCGGCAGTGCTTGTGAAATGGCCGGATGAGATGACAGATGATTTTTTATTTTTTTTTCCCCCGCTTACCTGAACACAAAATCTGCCGAGTCGATGTCCTTTCCGCAGTTGCTGTTCTTGATGATGCCGCCGTTTCCGATCACGGCGCATTTCTTGTACTGGGATTTGGAGTATGGCATATCCTAGAAAGCACAAGTGACAAAAGTAGTATCACTCAATGTACGGATACTTATGTTCAAAAAGAAAGTAGTAAAAAATAAAATAAAAAAAATAATAATAAGTACTAATTCAATTAGCCTACTGTAGAAAAAGACTGATTTTTTTTTTCGGTTATATACAGTCGAACCTCATTACAACGTACCTCGTACGTTATAAATTGTCGTTCGTTGCAACCATTTCCAATAAAATGGCCGCCAATTACGATGTATAATTTAGTATGAAAATTTATAGATGTAAAAACATGAAAACGTAGTAAAGTATAATCCAGTTCAGGATGTGCTGTTCAAAACGTGGAAACCAGATTGAATCGTAATCGTAATCCCACTGAGTCGACCCAAATCGAATCGTTGCACTTTCAAATCGAACTGTCCTTGAATCATTTCGCACCCCACGAATTGAAAACCGTCTTTTAAAATACAGATAAAGTGTTTCTTCCCATTACGAGCAAGTGATTAATCTGCATCCAGCATAGGACTCACATCCGGGAACATCTTGAAGACTTCAGTGGTGATGGGAAGTATGCCGCTGGTGTCCACCTCATACCTCAGTTTAGTTCCGGCGGGGGTGTTCCTTTTGGTGGTGAACAGGAAAGAAGGAGCGTTGCAGCAGCGAGACAACGACATTCTGGAACAAACCAAGAATCATTGGTTCAGGTGGAGACTGTTGGGCTGCATTTGTGCTTATTTGTAAAGAACGCTGGCATTAATCATGACACGTGCCATGCCAAGCATTAGGTGGAGGGTTTTTTTTTTTTTTTGTTTTTTGTTTTCTTGGGAGTTTCAGCATATAAAAACGATGCCAAAAAAAAAAAACAGTAGGAGACTGACTGTTGCAAAGTTTCTGGGCCGTTGGCCTCAATTGGTTGCATATTTTACAGAGGTGATGCTTACTTGAAGTTGCTGGTCTCCTCCTTGCTCTGCTCCCACTTACACACCTGCAGGTTGCGCCATCTCTCAAACAGATCAGAGGTTTTGACCCTGGCAGACAGGCAGAGAGACTTGTGGAATGAAGAAGGATAGCCATGACCGTGTATTTTCCGATTATTGTTTCTACAAAGTGCGGGGGGAATCGAAGAGAAACAACACAAGGCAAACATGATTAAAAAAAACGCCGGCAACAGACAAGGGCTGTGGTGGGTTGGGAGCAAAAAAATGGAGCAGATAAATGTCAGTGATTGCACTGCCGAAAACGGCGGCTACATCTAGTGCGGCCGGAAATAGATTGTCCTTGAACTGACATTTCCTGCTAGATGAATATGAAACTTGGCTCGCAGCCTGTAAAACAATTTACTTGACAGTAATGCCTGGTTCAAGAACTGGGAAGGATGCCTCTCGGGTTTACATGCCTTATTACGGGGTGATGCGAATCTTTTTGAATACACACCGGAGAATATGATGTGCCATTTATAGGTAGTTCCTGTCTTTAAAAAAAGAGCTTTAGACCTGTCTCTGGATCACCAAAAAAAAGTGTAAAATATAGATAGTTGTGTCTTCAACTTGTGCAAAAACACTGTAATGTTTTACTGGATTTATCTTGAGAAGTTTTCTACTTCGTGGGGTTGTTCCCTTTCCTGTTGACTATTTTCGGTATTTCACCACATTTTTGTCAACAAAAGGAATTGATTTGGATTTTATCTGACTAGTGTGATACCATTTAAGTGACACTTGACGGCGCCGGGTGAAAATGCAGTCCACTGCGTTAGCTAGTCATGGTAGCAGCCACATGCTTGTCAATTGTGAGCTTAAATAAGTTAATGTTCAGTGTTGTACTTCTGAATTAATCCCTCAATTATTGTTTTCTACTCGTTTTGTATCCATGTTTGCCAGTAATGACCAATATTTGATTGGGTTATTTGACCAGAAGAGATCCAAGCGAAGATGCAGAACGCCGCGTTAGCTTCTCCGCTAGTTGCCATGCGTTTGTCATTTGTGATCAAATGGTTAAATGTCTTGTCCATATGGTTGATTTTATTCGACACTTTTGGACAGCATATCGGTTAATCAGTTAAAAGAACCAACTTCTTGTGACCAAAAGACAGATTTTGAGTCCACTTGAGTCCGTGTGCTTTCTGCTGTTTGGCAACAAAGAGCACCGAGTGAAGCTCGAGACTGCTTTGTTAGCGTCTCATACAAGCCGCTTGGGATCAAAAATGTTCATGTGAAGTTTTATTCCTCCTGTTTTTGTTCCGTTGACCAACTTTTTGTCGTCAAGGGAATTTGATTTAGATCCAGTGAGTCCCATTTCTTTGTGACATTTGACAAAGAAGGAGCACAGAGAGAACATTCAGATTGTTGACCAACTTTTAGCAAAGGACTTTGATTTGGACTTCTTGTTTTGTATTGGACTAGTTGGCTTCTGCGGTGTACTGTTATTGTATGGACGTTAAAACATCACTCAAAACCCTTCCTGGACAGTTCATAAAGTTTTGGGGACAAATGGACTAAATTTCAATGGGAAAAGGTACCACTGAAGCTGAATTAATGACGTTTTCAACAGCGTAACTTGACAATCGTCACAATCAACTCCGAAAAGAAATCTCCCAGAAGACCAAGAGAATTCACTCACATTGTCAGGACTTTGACATCCATAATCTCCTGTCTGATCTCTTTGCATGTTGTCGAGTTGTACTCAAAGGGCCCGTCATAGTTTCCCAAATACCTGAAGGGATCATGAATACACAGTCACTGGAACAAGTGGCAGAGAAAGTAGTAGTCGTAGTCGACGGATAAAAACAATTGCACTGTGGAAAAGTGGAAGACTACCGGTACTTTTCGCCCCCAATAACAATGTGCGATGCCAAATAACGTGACGATTATTTTGTGATTTTTATTTGTATCTCTCTATTCAAAACAGCCTGAAAGTGACGAGAAGAGTCGGTCTGGTGGATGTGAGTATGACTGTGTGACACTTGCAAGTTCTATATGTGCCATAACAGCTGATTTAAATCATTTTCATTTCATCAAAAGTATTGACACAAACTTGTTTTCAGTAACACCACCACTGCGCAGCTGTTTGTAAACTCTTCGCACCGGCTTTAGGACACTAAATTACGAAAAGGTAAACAAGTCATGTTTTATTTCTAATCAACTTTCTGGCCAAAAAAACAATACAATACAAAATAAACGAACCCGATGTTGAAACTGAAACATTGAAGCACCTTTGTGTGTGTTATTTTGTGTTTCTTGGGTGATATTGAAGCAGCGGCAACAATCATAATTGGATCAAGTTACATTCGCAGAATGACATGTGGATGGCTGATAGGTGGGTGACGTCACTGCAACATGTCACATGGCTGTGCATGGTGGCAAAATGCAATGGGAGTTTAGCGAAGAAAAAAAAAAGAAGAGGAGTTAAGGATCGAAACAAAGGAAGGGATGCATTGAAAGGAATAAGATGCAGGATAGAAATACCACACAACTCAATGCTGACACCAGTTTGTCCATTTCCAAACCTGGTATTTGCACAAATAAATAAATTAGATAGATAGATAGATAGATTGGACTGGCGTTTTTTTTTTTTCGGGGGTCATACATCAAAATTTTCTCCAGGATACATGCTTTTTCGGGTCCCCTAAAAAAGGTGATTCATTCGTCAAAAGAATAATGATGAAAACATATTACAAGAGGGCCTCATAACATTAATAGGGGTTGGGGGGGTACATAAAATAGGCTTTTAAACCCAAGAGACAATGCAGATGTGAAGAAGGGAAGGCACGGGGAGTCCACATGGCATACACACAAGAGCTGTGCAGAACACGACACAAGGCGCTGGGAGGATGGTGTGCTACATGGGGAAACAACGGGCGGCACATCGACAGGGAGGCTCTACCGGATTTTGGACCCGGTCGAGAATGGTGGGGATTCGGGGGTTGGGCGATGGGTGGGGTGGGGGTGGGGTTTATGGGGTCAAGGTGGACGTCATCATGCAAATCTGAAAGTGCAACCACCACGGTGAAAAAAAAAGAACTTCTGTACCCTTCAGACCAATGAAAAAGAAAAGGGAGGCATTCTCGGGGTTTCTGTGAATGTACTGGAAATGCCTTCAAACGGGCCTACCTGTGAGAGCGTTTGTTTTTCTTCTTAATATCGGCTAGGCAGGGTGTGACTATTACGGAGATCTGTGAATCTGGCTGAAAATGCTGACGGAAACATCTGTCAACATGCAGACAGGTTAGGAGTTAATCGTGTGACGTCGCCTAACCCCCCCCCCCCCACTCCACCCCTACCCCTCCCACCGCGACATTGTGGCTAACAACCTGCAGACAGCATAACAGAGAATGAAAAATATAGCAAATGTGCTATGGTGCTTATCTGAGAAATTCTGCTGCTGGGGTCCAAGCATGCAAGGCTGGCTTTGAAAATGGGCGTGTGTGCGTGCATGTGTGTGTGTGCGTGCGTGACCTCTCATTATAGTTCACTCTCTGTGCTCTCGAGAGGTGTGGTGCAGTCGGTGACTCGGGGAACAAGGTACCTTTTCCTTCCATTTCTGGCAGGCTTCAGAGATCCGTCATCCGAGAAATTAACGGGACCGCTCCAATTTCCTGTCTCGTCCCCTTTGAGTCGACTAAACTGTTGCGCACTAGTAAGAAAATGAGTCAGTTTATTTGGGTTGATGTGTCCTCGATGTTTTTCCGAGCCGTGCAGAGAATGGAAAACAATCAAATCCAAAAAGTGTAGACATGGTTCGCAAACACATACAAACACATTTTTACACATTGAGCTCGAGCAGTTGTTTGTTTCGAGAAAACAGTGAAATAATGACACAAGGCATGTTCTATTTACACTCTTCTGGGTGTCAGGAGTCGCAAGCAAAGCTTGCGTGAAGAGTGATTGTTCCTTCCTGATCTGCATGAAACATCCCCTGGCTTTAAAAAAAAAAAAAAAAAAAAAAAAAAACTATTATTGAGTATTATGTTCAAACTGGTCAATTTTTGACCTGCATGAATTTTGTTTGTTGGAAACTATAGAAGACTAAAATAGTGTCTAAAAAGTGATGCAAAAAACTCTTTCAATGTTATTTATAGCCTGACGACTGCAATTCGATGTAGACTGTGAACCTAAACCCTCAAAAATATTTCTCCTAGCCAGTACTAAAGATTTTTTACAAAAAGTGTGACCAACTCAACGATGTCAAGTTGGTTTATGAGTCATTTGTATGAATCATTTTGGATTAAATGGAACTATAATACTTTCTGGGTACGCATAACTTCAAAACACAAGTCATGACTTAATAGAATAGAATAATTGATTGATAAAGTTTTGTTTCTACTGTTTGAAATGTTTGAAAATGAATTTGGTGAGCGCGTGCTGAAATGAGTTTTCACTCTCAGAAGTTCCCCAGCAGATCGATCGCAACAAATTGCAGTAAGAATTTGATACGGGTACATGCGCTACTCAAGAGTATATTAGAAGCCATCTCCGAATTACACTTGGACTTTAGAGCTTAACTTTATTCACGTGACGCAGCTCAAGGGGCAGGCAGGCTCCATCATAAGTCCATGACTTGCTGTGACCTCTACGGTCGCCCATCACAAGAGGTCGATGACATCACACGTGCCCATATTAGTCAAGTCATCTCACTCTGGACTTCAAATCCCAACGTCTGGACTTCAAACCCCCCCCATCCCCCCCCCCCCCCAAGCGTGTGTGCAGACATACTGTAGCAAAATGGCCGCCGCTGAGCCCATTGCTTGTTGTCACCCCCCCCATTCCCCATCTGCCCAACTGCTACTATTTCTTTCCGTCTCTCTCCGCAATGGGCCCAGCGCCATTATAACGTGCAGGATGCTTGAATTCATGAATCTCACCGCTGGGGAGGTTTTTGGATACCATGAATCCATCTTATTAACCAGCTTGAGGGGAGAGTGGCGTGGAGGGGTGCGGCGGGGGTGGATGGGAGAGGGGTAGCGTGTGTGTGCGTGTGTGTGTGTGTGTGTGCGTGTGTGTGTGTGTGTGTGTGTGTGTGTGGTCTCTTATTAGGGACTGCAGCACATTATGTTGGTTCAGAGTAAACATAAGAGGTGTCACTTCTCTGGGATGTGGCCTTTGTTCATTTGTTTGGGGTTCTTCTCAACATCTGCTCGTCTCATAGCTGGAATTTATGCGGCGTGTGCCATGACGTAAAGAGATTAGAGTGTTTGGGATTCACAAAACTGATTTTTTTTTTTTCATTGGGAGGTCCAGATGAGAAATGAACACAGGAATTGACTTATCTCTGGCTGAAAATCATCACTGATGCGGAGATCTCATCTCTGCTTGATGTAAAGTACCACCAGTCGATGAAAGGCGCAAATTCCCCCCAAAAAATTATAATAAATCAAAGATTAACTCAGGGGGTGTGGGGGGACATTACCATACACGGCCGCTGAAGCAGCGTGTGTATGATATGAATGTGATGCTTGATCATCATCAAAAGAAACCCAATGAAATTTGTTTTTATGTCACAGGGGCGAGTGGGGGGAGAAAGAGGGGAAAACGAATGGATGGTCAATTGCTATTGTTCTCTTCCGGCCATGAAGCTTTTCGCCCCCCTGAAGAAGACATCCATGAAGCATTCAAGCATTGATGTAAATGTGTCCAAGGTGAAACCGCACGTACCTCTTAATGTAGTTTTTCCCATAGAGAATTTGCTGTAAGAGAGTCACCAGTCCAAAGGCGCAAATAAACATGAAACAAAGGGAGCGATTGCCCAGGATGTCTTTACCCGAGGACGGGTCTGTGTATCCGATCCTGCGGCGCAGCATCCGGGGCTGACGGTGACACCCTGCTCGGTGTCTCTCTCCGCCGCTGCTGCATTCAGGACCGGGAGGCGCCCGCAAGTCTCGTTGGCCCAAACGGACCGCGCATCGTCCATTAGCCGCCTCACGGGGATGCCAAGCTACCTCGCTCGTTCCCAATCGGGAAAAATAGCGACATCAGATGAGGAGACATCTCCACAGGACGAGGGGCAAAGGAGGGGAGGATCGTGGGGTGGGGGAGTGGGAGGGCGCAGATGGCGCAAAGGGAGGAAAATGCTAAATGGGATTAAATCAGAAAAAGATCACGACCCTTATTAGGGCCAATAGGGCGACGCTAAAGAGAAATGCAGTTAAATTCTTGTCTGGAAAAGGAGGTAAACACACGCACACACCTTGTGTGTCGTCTCCAAACTGAGAATTGCCGCTTGATTACAATCTTGGAAGGAGGATGTGCTTTTCTTTTTTTTCTTGTTATTTAACCTCCAGTAGTCACTAGAGGGCGCCCTTTATCCATTCATGGATGTGCTTTTTTTTTTTTTTGTCACCACACCAAGGTCATTTTCTGCCTACCTCAAGGGCGAATTAAATGGGGACTCCTGGGCGGGAGTTGTATTTTTGTGTTGATTATTTATTTTTGTCTGTGGAATAAAAAAAATCGATAGAGATAAATAAGTGAAGAGGTTGTAATTCAGTTATGTTGAAGTATTGACAGTATCGTTTTTGTTTAGTGTGCAGGTGACGCGGTGAGCGACTGGTAAGCACGTCGGCCTCACAGTGCAGAGATGCAGGGTTCAATTCCGGCTCTGGCCTTCCTGTGTGGAGTTTGCATGTTCTCCTCGGGCTTGTGTGGGATTTCTCTGGGTACTCCGGTTTCCTCCCAGATTTCAAAAACATGCATGACAGGTTAACGGAACACCTTAAATTGTCCCTCGGGTGTGATTGTGAGTGCGAATGATTGTCTGTTTATGTGCGCCCTGCGATTGGCTGGCAACCAGTTCAGGGTGTACCCCGCCTAGTGCCCGAAGACAGTTGGGATGGGCTCCAGCACTCCTCACGACCCTTGTGAGGAAAGGCGGATCAGAAAATTGATGGATGAATGTTTAGTGTGCCCCCCACTGGCCAGATATAGCTACTGCATTCAGAGATGTGCACTCCTTGATTGGGTCAAAGGTTAAAAGCAAGATGGCCGCCTTAAGTCAGGTGTGTGGACAATGAGCTCGGCATGCAAGCAAGCCTCTCTGGTTAGGTAAGGGTTTTCAAAGCATTATCTGAAAGCATTTTTGACATTTTACATTATTTCAAGCTTGAAAGATCAGTATAGTTTATTCATTGTCACCTCAACTACCTATTCAACATCCACAGCTCGTCTCCTGACCTCCTCGCCTGAACAAACAAATGGTGAGTGAATGAATTGAAGCCTTGCTGACACCTGTACATGCCCTTTGACTTATGAACAGTGACATTTTGGGGTGAGGGGAATGCCACAATTTTGTTCATCCTTTTTTCTGCTTCTGTTATGATTAGATGCCACACTTAATGGTTTACGGCTAAGCTAATGTCCATGCTTTCATTACCTTTGATGATGAAGTTGCCCCTCCCAAAATGGCTGTATTCTGTCCTTGTATTGCCTCAGATTGGATTTTGGTGATGACCGAGAATGGTCAGTCACTTCGGAAGTAACTTGACTTTTTGTGAAAAGGATTTGCAAAGTAAATGATTATTTGGGTCGTTAACATTTTGGCCAGGGCTCAGTTCCTATTGTATTACTTTCTGACACTTGAGGAGAAATTGTTGTGCAGTGAAGTAGCACAGCTTTGTTTATTATAGAAATGGCAGGAGAAATTGTTGTGCAGTGAAGTAGCACAGCTTTATTGTTTATTATAGAAACGGTCAGTTGCATTTCCTGGATACAGTAGAAAGTGGATATCAAATGTCATTAACACCCCATTTCAAACGTTGCGATACAAAAATGAGACCAAGATAAACCATTTCAAAATTTTATTGACCTGCAACCTGTACAACTTATTAAGAGAAAAAAATGTTTCATAGAGCAGAAAAGCAACCAAGATAATGTGAATGCACAATTGTGCACTCTCCATAACTATTCAAACTTGTGCTATTTGGGAATGAGCACACATCTGTTACCATTTAAAGTGATTCTGATGAACCCCAAATAAAGCTCCTATGTTCTAGAAGGCATGACTTCCTGATAACACGGTTGTTCATTCCAGAGTTTGTTTGTTTTTTTTAATCAGCCGAGCATTCGTGTCTCAGTTGGTGAAATATAGACGTCACCGGTCGGTCACTGGCTGGGGCAATTGCAATTCCTGAGGCGTCGCCGTGGCGACAGCAGAGGTTTCTACCGCTTCCGCTGCCTTGGCATTCTCAGCGGCCTTGCTCTCGATCTCGTCCATCCGCCGCTGCATCATGCGGGGCATCAGCTGCACATAGGTGCCCATCAGGCGATGGTTGGAGCGGATCAGCTTCCCCGCGCAGTTGTCCACGCAGCGCTCCTGTACAATCACACTCGTCAATATCAGCCGAGTTTGTTGCTACACAAAGGTTTGTAATTGGAGTTAGTGCCTCACCCTGGTGTATTTTGTATTTTAGGCCAATACTTGGCGGAGTTAAATTTGGAATCATAGTACCTCTACACAATATGTCTGTGAGTAGTGTTGTAGGGTGAGTGGATAGAGACGGTCTTCCGAATCCTTACCTCATCCATAGTTAGGTTCCTGTAGTTGAAGTTACTAGTGCAGTGTTGGAAGCAGATCTCCGTCATGCGGTTGTACACAAGAAGGAAATCACGGAGCTGCAAGTGAACAAAGACTACCCTTACTACTTTTTCTGTCTCAATGCTTACAACGATAAACACCTTAGTAAAAGGAATAACATTCGACTTCAGTGACTGTAATTATTTCATGAACAAATTAATTGAAAAAAAAAATGTACACAAGAAGGAAATCACGGAGCTGCAAGTGAACAAAGACTACCCTTACTACTTTTTCTGTCTCAATGCTTACAACGATAAAGACCTTAGTAAAAGGAATAACATTCGACATTAGTGATTATAATTATTTCATGAACAAATTAATTGGGAAAACAATCGTTATATTAGCAGTTTGTGTTTGGCAAGTTTAAATATGGATTAACCTTTATTTCTTATTTACGATGACAAACTGACAATTCACCCACCTAGCAAGAATGACTTACGTTTCTCAGCTGCTGGTCGGGATCCATCGTGCTCGTCTCATGTAATAATCTTATTGACTTCGTGAGGACAGCATGTGATTGTTGTACGTTAAATATGAACACAAAAATACAGCTGGAGTCATTAAAAGCTATCCTGAGAGAGGCGATTGTAGTTCAGGAATCAGGACGGTGCGACTTTCATTCGGCGCCGTTTGTGAGCTTCCGTTATTTTCTTCTTCGTGGGGTTTGGGGGCTGATTGCATTAAGAATTAGCACATTACCGCCACCTACAGATCAATATTGATAATTGTTTTGTCTTTCGCCTCCTTGAGTGTTTTTGTGCTGAATTGTTTTAAAACGAAGTGCCAAATAGTTAGAATGGAATACAAGATAAGGAATTTATTGTGAAAACAAGCTATTTCACTCAGCATGATTTCAAAATCGATGAAGAGAGGCTTTCAAAGGCTAATCATTTTGGCGGTTGCAAAAATAAAATTAGGTGAATATTGATTGGTATGAACAATAATTTCAAGCCATAAATCTAAAGCTGCTTCCTAAACTTGAAACGTTCCCCATGTCTGCCCAATTTCCTGTTTATTGGTGGTTCCGATATTTGTCATAGAAAAACTCAGATTATAATAGATAAGATTAAACGGCCGATTAATGGAAAAAATAAATGTTGTTTCCTCACTGCAATAAAGATATGAATTGCAGGTTGAACGTTTGACTTTTTCTATTTGTCATAGAAAAACTCAGATTATAATAGATAACAGATTAATCGGCCGATTAATGGAAAAAATAAAAGTTGTTTCCTCACTGCAATAAAGATATTGCAGGTTGAACGTTTGAGTTTTTATTTAGATTTTAAAAGCAGTAACATTGGCTGATCAAAACAGGCACACAATTAATCAAGAAGGTCATAATTATGTTTTGAACTTTCCAAGGTGGCTACTGATTTGAGTTTTTGCAACCCCTAAAATACATCTTTTCAGCAGGATGCTCAGGCTTGCAAACGTTCAAGAAATGTGGATGTCCCCAAAATTTGATTAATTTGAAGGACTTAAATAAGTGCTAGTGAGAATTGAATTTGAAGCATTTACAAGGCCCTGTGTACTGCAGTGTTATTTATTCATGTCAAGAAAGCGGGTTTATTAGAAAATGGCACACATGTGTAAACATCGGCTTGGCTGGTACGCATCATTCGGCTCCTTCTGTGCCGACTGCAGCCACTGCCGACACGTAGTAAGGTCCTTCTCTCAGGTAGTTCTTGAGTGAGATGTAATTCTGGCTGCCCAGTATCTCCGTTGCGCTGGACGAACTCAAGAGGGAGCCCACCAGCTCAAACTTGGCGTCTTTGGCCTCCTTGCTTTTACTGGTAGAACGATCCAGGATGAACTCCATAAAACCGGGCGTGCTCACCATCAACCTCTGACCCCACGGTTGAGCGGCGACAGCCTGGTAGACAAAAGGCCGTCGCTCAGCAAAAATTCACCTAATTGTGTTTTGTGCTCTTCTATAAAACCTGCCTTGTAAAGTTAGAGCCTACTTTTATCGTTTTTTTTTTTTCTTTTTTCCAATAAAAGGCACTGAAATTGTGGAATGGAACACTTGAATTTAAGTACATTAAATCACGCCCACAAGACAATTTTTAAAATCACGACTGGAAAAATATCCACCCTGATCCTCGAGTCAGTCCCTATTTATTGTAACTGATGATGGAGTTATAAAGGCACTTACAGAGAAGACTCGTAAGGCGCTACAATGCAGCTCCGGGAAGGGCTGAGTGCTGATGTTGCGAATCATGTCAATGGGCTGCTTGGACAAAAGGTGGAACCAGGACTCAGTCAGCGCCAGCAGGTCTTCAGTCTGCTGGTCCGGCTAGTGGGGGGGATTAACATTGGCAAAGTCTCCCCAATGTAAAACTTGCTTTAGGCCACAAACATACCTGCAGAGTAAGGAGATGTGAAATGGCCTCCAAGCAGCGCACACGGAGCTCGGTAGCACCAGCGCTGGCAATCTGGCTCATCCTGAACATTACCGACTTAAAGTTGTCACCTGAAGTCAGACAGAGAATTAAGTATCATGTACACCATTGTGAATTGTAAAAACAGTGGAACCTCCCATGTTCACATGTAGCGATAACTGGGCAGATTTGAGCATTTTTCGCATCTTCAAACTCAGCCAGGACCCGACGAACGGTCATCTCTCAACGATTATCCCAGCACAATGCTGCCACTCACAGGTCTGTTTTGGTACTACAAAAAACGGTAATTGATGACCCTGCAGCCTCGAATCAACCCCACCTGTTTTCTGCAGCACTTGCTTCCCTTCCACATTAGAGCCCAACAGTCCCAACGTGTCCAGAGCTACGCCGACCATCACAGGATCCGTGTCCATGGCCATCTCAAACACTTTGTTCCGGAAGACCGGGTAGTCTTCGCACACCTGCTGCGGACCTTGCATGAATGAGAGCACGCCGAAAAACTTCACGAAACCTGCAGAGAGCGTCCGGCAATCAGGCACGCAGTCTTCCCAGACAACATGAAGAATTCTAAAGGCGAGTATTTTGTTACCGGGGAGATACAAGGAAGAGAAAGGATCCATATCTGAGTCTGTCATCATCTTGGCAATCTTGTTCATGACACTCTGATCGTATAGGTACTTGCGGCCATGTTCAGTTTGAGCAATAGTCGTCACCATCTCAATGGCCGTGGCCCTAAAAAGTAATTGCAACCTCAATTATTTTAATCCGCAAAACGACTCTGAGGATATACAGTGCAAATAAATCACCTTAAAGGATTTGATGGAAAAGTGACTTTTTTCCCCCCCCATGTGCCGTTGTTACCTGATTAAAACATCATCTCCTGTTAATTCTCCGATGAGCTGATTTATGATGTCGCTGCAGGCATGAAAACCAAGGGAACAAGAGGATTCCGACAAGATCTCCACAACCAGCTGGGAACAAAAAGAAAATCAAACGAAACATTTCGACAGGTAATTGTTATCCTCATACATACGATAGAGCTGGGGTCACCACCGTGGCGCCAACAGATACCACGTAGCCCCCACATGAGTAGCTCGTGGGCCTGTTCCAAAAATAGCTCACTAGTGATTTTTCAAGGAATGTTGTACAAGTGATGAGCATGAAAATGTGAAAGGGGAGTGGATTTTTTTTTTTTTTTTTGGGGTGGTGATACTTGATGTGAAGCGTTTCAAAACCACTCATCTATAATATTGGACTTTATTAAAATCACAGTACAATATAATAGAATGTAAGCATTGAAACAGTTTTCGCAACACGATTAATATACTGCAAATTGCGGCGACAGTGTGCAACTTGACCACTGGGGGCAGTATACTGTAATACAGTCATTTAGACACAGAATGTTGTACAAGTGATGAGCATGAAAATGTGAAACGAATGAGGAAGTGTTTCATATTTTAGTCAGTGAGCTGGTGTTAATTTTAGTTGTTCGGAGAGTGTAAAGAACACAAGTTTTGATTGCGCTAATGAAACCATTGATCATCTATTTGGCATCAAATTCAGTAAGGGATCAAATCATCTTTTTCTGCATATACCTCATAGACTCTATATCGGATGACGTCGCTCACGGTCAACACGTCCTTCAGAACGTTCACCAAGTCGCTGAGAATAAGTTTGTTCACGCCGGTTTGGGTACGACCTAGCTTGGACAGGGACTGGATGGCCTGCATGGATTAGTTTGTGTTAGATAGTATCAACACATTATATTGGAGGCAAACTGCAAAGTGGCCACTTACCTGTTTCGCCACCATCATGTTCTCAGCCGCAATGGAGCGCATCACAGTTACAATAATGTCGCAACTGTTGAGGATTTCCACCGCGGCATCGGGGTGCTCTGCCATCCTACCCACCTGACAAGAAACGAAGACGACAGGTTAGTTAGCTGTCTGAAGTTGGTGATTTGTGCTGCTTTGCAAATTGCTCAGGTTCAAAGTGACCCATTTTGACAGCAATAAAATGACCCTGTTATTTTTATTCAAGCTGAAATGTAATGCTTTTTCCTTAAGCGACCCCAAAAACACGAATATTTTCAAAAATCATTCTTTTGTAAAGGTGCTACAAGAGGCTCTTCCAGGGGGTGGTGGGTATGAAACAGGCCAGAGAACTATTTGTTGTGATAGATAGATTGATCGATAGACTTTATTAATATTGACCATGTTACTAGTCAATCTCAGTTCAGTCAGACAACCGGGTACTCGAAATGAATCTTGAATAAAAAATATCTTTCTTTTGTGCTATTAATATTATCATTGTGCACTGTTTACAATCTGGTTACCTGAGTCAAAGTCAGTATCTTGACAGTGTCGTTGGGGTGCGTCAGACCTGCTTGCAGCTCAGCTCTGTAGTTCTGGACCACGTGCAGGGGGCTGCAGGCCATTAAGATGCGTTGGAGGATGTCCACACACAGTTCAACCTGCTCCCTGTCAATGCAGAAGTTGTCAGTCTTCTCAATACGAGTATCAATTGTAACGTTTTGATGACAACCATTATGGAAAGGCCTAGTAGCCATGAGTGGCATTTCAATATTTATATAATTGCAATGACGGCAGCACAACGTCCAAAGACCACTTTATTTCAGGCCGCACAGGAAGATTTTATTAATATTTCAAACTGCACCATTGCTAATCTTGTTTTCTAATGACATCGTGATACTGTTGCAACAAAGGCAACACGTCATTCTTGGCTCATATTTCAGTACATAATGACAATAATAAATTGCGCTGAATGTCAGAAAACTGACAAACCAAGTGAAATACATGATCAAAACAATAGACAGGCAGTGAAAAATAGTTTCATACAAACCTTTCATTGGAGTTTAACAAAGAGAAGATTACTTCGAAGCGATGCCCGCTAACAAAGTCCCTCAAGTCGCTCAATGGTATGGATAAAAGTGCAGTTTTAAGACATTGAAGATCTTCAATCGGCTCTTCTGTGTTGGAAATTTCTTCCAGCAAACTCTCGATAGAGGCGGCCATTCTGTCTTCTGTTTACGTCGACAGCATCGACCCTCCTTCTACATCGTTTTGTGGTAGACGATGCACACGCCAAGTAGCAATTATCGCCATCTGTTGACAGAATTCAATAACTGCATTTCCTTCCTGTTCAATAGCTACGAAAATAGTTTCTTTGATCGTCATTTTCAGCTCTAGAACAGCTTGTTTTTGCTTAAAACAAAGCGTTAAAATGTTCTTTGTCCTTGAAGAGTTCTTTGAACATCCCGATTTTTTTTTCTTGAGGGCAAAAAATTCTTAAGCATTTCATGTTGCTTGTTTCTTGAAGAAATATGTTTTCTTACTGTTGAAAAAAATTACTGCCTTTTTTTTAGTCTACTTTTTAACGTTGGGTGGATTCTGCTGCTTAATTCATATTCCACAAACGCAAGATTAATCACAATATCGTGTTTTGACTAGTGGGTGCCCATAAAACATACAATTTGTGAGTTGATTTCCTATTTAAATAGGGTATTTCTATACTGTATTGCGGCCGTGGTCCTGAAGGTAACCTCAGGAATGTGACTTATAAAAAGATTCTACAGTTTTCTGTGATTTGTAATAAAGTGTGAAACACAACTTGCAATAAAGACTGATTTATTAGCATTATTTGGTTTTTGATTAAAAATAAATTGGTCTAAAAAATATTGCAAGGATCAGTTTTCTAATATGCCCCTTTGAGAACTGGTTGCCAGTGTTTGACTGTCCCCAAAATCCAAGGCTACAATATGACGTATTCGTGTCTGACTTCAGATCTTTTTTACCACCACATTTTTTCCGCAAGGATATGTACTTTAAATACATGGTGTGTTTATTTTTGCCACTTCTGGTTAATAACGCGCTTGTCCAAGGGAGTAAAAACAAAACAAAACAAATCACGGCGTTAGACTGCCGGCGAGGTTGCTTACGCCTACGTGGCACACGGCGGTTGCAGAACCGTACAGGGTGAGCGGGGAGGAGGACCTGGCTGCTAGCTCCGATCTCGTCAAATCGCGGTGCATTGTGGGGCGGAGGCGGCCTTTCCTTATCACTGCACAGAGCAGTAGTTCGGCTGCAGACACGACTTTTTTTTTTAAAGTAAATAACGTCAACTCGGAAGGGAGTCTCAAGCAAGCATAGAAAAGACCTCTGAAGTATATCGGATAAAGCTTTTATAATTGGTATTAAGCACCCGTTTGCTCGACAAACATGGGGCAGGAGGATCTCATGAGCACGGCCGAAGACGTGGCAGACCAGGCAAGTTGAATTACAGCATTAGCACACGCGAGCTAGCCCCTGATGCACCCTACTACTTCCTTTCACTCGGTGAGAACAAAAAAAAAAAAATGACACCCTGATGCTTAAATACCTACTGACAAGCGTCCAGATTAACGACTCGCCCCCTTGTCGTCGAGTAATTAGCATGACAAACCAGTTATGTTGCAATCCTCCCGTCGTGTGGTACTCTTCTTCTTCCACTTGCACTTCGTTTAAGTGAGAAGTTGTCGTTTGTCGTACAGCCAGGATGCAGACGGCGTCGGTATGTGGTCAGGGAGATAACAGCCCGTTTCAAGAGGTACGAATGCTAGAATTCTAGCTCTTATTAACAATAATGGTACTGTACGCGATTTTCAAGTCACCCGGGTTATTTGAGCGATTTACAGGTTACAGTTGTTCCACTGACTCTTGGCTTAGTGGGCACCTTTTTCCGTGCTACATTTTTGAACGCTAAAACTACTCTCAAGGGGGCATACGTCTGTATTTATGAGGACTCATTATGTTTCATGTCTTAACGTCCAGAGCTGAAGCGAAAGTTACAGTGGCGTTGACTTAACTCTGGCTATGTTGCACTATTTTGTACATTTTATATTGTCCCACATGAAAAAGTAGACTGATGGGAATTTAAATAACAGCTTCCTAACAGGGGCAATTTAGTGGAAACATTTGGATTGGCTCCCATTTTGTCCATTCATGCCACACGCTGTAGTCATGGAGGGACTTGTTGCAATCTGATTGGCTGACAGGCGCTGTCTTTGCTGACGTGGATATTGGAGTGGGCGGGGATACACGCTTGCGTCAGTGGACTGGGGTCCTGCGTAATGTTGCTTCTGGGTGAATTGAGTAAAATGAGTCCTTAATTTAATAAAATAATGTTATAATATTAATAAATACTATATTTGATTAATAATCTAAAATAATACTTGTATTAAACTTTCTCATTAGGATGAGAAATGTCTTTACCTCCGAGCGGTACCTTATTTAGCCTACTACAAGACTTTAGATGTTATAAATGTCTCTCAGACACAACATAATGGTGATGACTAAATAGTGAAGCAGTGATGTCGTGATTATAACGTCCTAGGTGAAAATATCACAAAATTAGGCCCTGGCCTGCACTGTCAGTTCACTCTGAAATGTAAATCGATGGGGTCTCCCCTTCAGGGTTGCCATGGACACTTTTCTTGTCCTAACGAGAGTCTTTCATCCTAAGGAGAAAGATGAAAAACTTTGAGCTAACTACACGAACTGATTTAGAGCCGACGGCTATGTTTCAAACAAACGTAGTGTCTCATAGCCGTTTTTTGTATTGTCTTGACGCATCGTAGTTTGGGTAGTGTGACATACGCAACCCCATCACGACAACGAAAATCCGCCATGTCACAATTTTAGTTCGTCCTTCCGCATCGTGTGACATGTCCTGTCGTCTGAATCTCAACGGAAGCATGCAACGATTGGGCAGGGTCTCGTAATTGAGCGCCTTTAATGTGACATCTTGCCTGGTCCAAGACAGGACGATATTTATCTGATAGCCTGACAGCACAAACGTCGTGAACAACAAAAAAGACGTGTGGTTTGACAAGGCCTTTCTCGTTCTAACGAGGAACTTTCTCATCCTCCTAATGAGAAACATATCAGTTAGAGTTGTTAACTTTGACTTGTTTTCTTTTCAGCGTGCACTCTGACAACTGTGGAAAATTCTACCCAAAAAGTATGGAGTAAATAAATCAGTAACTCTTAAATCAGATAGTAACAATAATGGAAACAAATCTGTGACTTTTAATGTTTGATGAAACAGACTGGACTGCACTTGCTAAAAACTGAACTCATCTAGACTCTGTCTCAGTAAATTCTATGTATTTATATAACTTGTTCCCCAGCATGTGGCGTAATGACTGTAGCTGACAACCAGATTCCTCTGTTCGTTGTACTTAATTGCAGCCGCATTATTTGGCAGCGGAGAAATATTTAAGCGCAACAAACCGGCCCAACATAAAGCAACCATTGTTGTTAAGGCTCTGGTGAAGCAATACGATCGAGTAACCTGTTATAATGACTTGCTCATCCTCTCTCATGTCTTTCCTGTTTTTATAGTTCCTGCGGGTGACAAAACAGTACTTGCCTCACCTGGCACGTCTGTGTCTCATTAGCACTTTCCTGGAGGACGGCATCCGCATGTGGTTCCAGTGGCATGACCAGCGGGACTACATCGATGCCACATGGAGCTGTGGCTACTTCCTGGCGACGTGCTTCGTGCTCATTAATCTATTAGGCCAGCTCGGTGAGTGGATGGCGAAATAGTGCAAGAACGGAAAGTAGGAGTTCACAAACGAGTTGCGCCGCAGAAGCTTGTTCGTAAGTTGCTGTTTTATCGGCTTTAAATTGTACTCCTTGGCACCTGTTGCCACTAGGCACGACCAATAACAAATTATTTATTTTATATATCTCGAAATAGTGAAGCCTGCTTGCTTCATACTGCGGGCTGTGTAGGCTGCGTTTTTCCTTGACGTACAAGCCGAGTGATCCACCGTTACGCGTTGTCGTTTTTTTCGGTTGGACTGAGGCGGCCGTCGCTGATTGGCCCACTTGTCACAAATAGTTGGGTTCTGCCAAAGTAGAATTTGAGCAGCTGTTTTGTTTGTTTTTTTTCATTATCTTTATTTAATGGTCATCTCGCAGAGCTAACGTGGCATCCGTGTACAGTCTCTATCTACTGTACTTACAAACGCATTTATTTCATATTTTTCTCAAGAAAATAAAAATCCTATTGCACTGCACTGTCTTTCTAAACACCTTTGTCCTATTGTGTCTCCTAACAGGAGGCTGCATCCTCATCCTCAGTAGAAATTTTGTACAGCATGCCTGCTTTGGATTATTTGGCATCATAGCGCTACAGGTGACAAATTCAACAGCGACATCAAATGTGAATGTGGAACAAAGTCATTGTATCTAATCTGAAGTATGTTTTTTTTGTAATCTCCCACCAGACTATTGCCTATAGCATTTTATGGGATGTGAAATTTTTGATGAGGTAAGCCACCACACATTAATATCTATCGACGTGTTTTTTATTTATTTATTTATTTTTTGTTGTTGTAGTTTTTTGAGTTTTCCTCTTCCTCTTTAAGAAACCTGGCCTTAGGTGGTGGTCTCCTGTTGCTGCTAGCCGAGTCACGTTCAGAAGGGAAGAGCATGTTTGCCGGCGTGCCGTCAATGGGCGAGAGTTCGCCCAAACAGTACATGCAGCTGGGCGGCCGCATTCTGCTGGTTCTCATGTTCATGTCTCTGGTCCATTATGACACCAGCTTCTTCTCTGTGAGTACTCGCACAGGATGCTAATTTCAATGAGAAATCTTGGCCTTTCATTACGCCAGTAATATAGGGGCTCGTCAAAAATAATTAATTGTGTATATTACTCTTTAACTGCCCTTGGAAAGTCGTCCGACGGCTCTTGGAAGCCTATCTGGGGCACTCACTTAGCGGCTAACTGCTAGCCGATAATGTTGGGAGCAGGCGTCGCATTCTACAATGTCGCTCTAAGTTTTTTTTTTTTTTTGCCCATCCCCCCTTGAACCTTTCCTCTGATTTGCAGATCTTGCAAAACCTGGTGGGCATCGCCCTCATCATCCTGGTGGCCATCGGCTTCAAGACCAAGCTGGCGGCGCTGACGCTCGTCTTGTGGCTGTTGGCAATGAACGTCTACTTCAACGCCTTCTGGACCATCCCTGCCTACAAGCCCATGCATGACTTCCTCAAGTATGACTTCTTCCAGACCACCTCTGTCATTGGAGGCCTGCTGCTGGTGGTGGCCCTTGGGCCCGGCGGTGTGTCCATGGACGAGAAAAAGAAAGAGTGGTAGGGAGGGGAAAAAAATACAAATGAATACTGTACACAGCACCACCGACTGGGACTCAGACACCCCCCAATCCCTCTTGCTCTGTCTGTTGGTTCACCTGGATACACAGGGTTTACTCTATATGTTATCAATTCTTTTTTTTTTTTTTTGGGCCAAACCATTACATGGTGATCAACCTTGTTTCTTTGTCATGCTTCTCATTCGAACATGGTTGTATTCATTCTAAACCAGTGTGCTATTCCCAACGATAAGAAGGTGAAATAGGCCCTTATATTTCAAGGTAAAATTCTTTTATTTGTCCTGTGAATAACTGAACACAAACCTGTTGTATTGACGTCATCATGGATGAGGACTTCCCCAACTTTTTGTCAACCTGAGAATTGCAATGACTTTCCTCAAGATCCCAATTTTGCTCAATATTTTGTCCGTTTATTAATGATTAGGTACTCAGAGGTGAAACAAAAATCCCTTCTGTTACGAAAAATGTTTTGCTTGTTTGATGATCCCCCCCAAAAATGTAATTGTAGTCTTGACAATCAGGGACACATTAAAATTTGAAGTTCGGGAACTCCTATTGCATGATGTACCTTCATACTTGGCAAAGAGGAGTAAAAGCAGTTGAGTTGGGGATGATGATCATGTCCATAGTGAGAATTGTGGGGGCACTTAATTGACTGTGACTTACTGGGACTCTCCAGGTGTCACGTCCTGCCTTGCATTCAGCTGTGTACCCTCAAGCCAAACAACTGACTGACAAGCCATGTTTGTCGTGGGGTTGTGTGAGGAGGGTTGACATGATGTTCAAAAAAAAAAAAAAATGGCGGATTGCCATGCCCCATTGTAAAATCACATCACGGTTGTTGAAGCCAGGACGCCTTGCTTCTGTATCTCTAGTGAACTGTGTATAATGCAAGGGCAGGGTTTGGTGTTACAGGTGGGAGGTGGCTCTATCTATGTTTTGTCAAATGTCATATTCTGCGATCTACAAACGCAAAGAGGACGAAGCAGATGTTTTTTCCTCTCTCTGTTTGTGTTTTTTGCCTTAGTTACAGGAAAATAAAATATTGTTTTGATTTTCAAAAGTTTACATTGTGTTTTTGTTTTTTTTTCTTTTCAAATTTGGAGATTTATGGCAGAAAATAAAATTCTAATACAATAAAATACAGAGTGACTGTACATCAAGACAAGCCCTTCAAATGGTTCCAAAAGACTGCAAATGTACCGAGACATTAGACAACCACCTAAATTGAACCCCCAAACAATCAATTACATCCACTTAAGTTACTCTGAATACCATTTTCACAAGTACACCACTCCCCAAAAAAGTTGTGGATATTCAACTTTCAAATGAAATTTTAGGGTGAACCTAAAATGCACTTTGGCCGTATAAGTGACCGAGACATTAGACAACCACCTAATTCAGTGTTTCAGTACTTTAGTAGTTTCTCTCCTCCCCATCAAGGAGCTGAAAGAAAATATTCATGAATATTGAATGACACAGGAGAAAAGGCTGTGCTCAAATTCACAGACTGTGCCTCCTTAGGCCACATTTTCGGTCACGTGACGTCACTTCCACTGCGACTCGCCCTCACGGTATGTCCGAATTTACTTCAGCCTGTGCAAATTTGCCGTCGTCATGTGGTCCACGGAGACAACATCAGGAGGAGCCTTTGAAGGCGTCCAATGACCGAGCCTGTGATTTGTCTTTCAAGAAACCAGTGCGGTTGTCTGACGTCAAGTGGTCGAAAATGCTGCCTTCGAAGAATTCTACCTGTAAATTTGGACACAGCCAAAGACGAATTGGCCAGTTGGGACATGAAGGCAACAAATATGGCGCCCCTGAACGCTCTGCGTTAAGTTCATGGACGTACAATATATCTGAATGAACTAACGATGCCGCTTACAAGCCGTCGGGAGCAGTGAAGCCACCGACGGCCATTTTACGTTGCTATTTGTTAAGCCTGAATAACTTGATCCTACCTGTAAATTTGGACACAGCCAAAGACGAATTGACCAGTTGGGACATGAAGGTAACAAATATGGCGCCCCTGAACGCTCTGCGTTAAATTCATGGACGTACAATATATCTGAATGGCCTAACGATGCCGCTTACAAGCCGTCCGGAGCAGTGAAGCCACCGACGGCCATTTTACGTTGCCACTTATTAAGCCTGAATAACTTGATAACATTGATTTGTCTGTTTTCACGTTTATTTTCCATCTCTGCGGCTATTCTATACTTGTCCATTTATATATACGTATTTGAGTTAAAGTGAAATGAAACCTATGACGTAACCGAGAGGAGGACCAATAAAAAAGGAGTGATGATTGGAGCTAGCACGCGACTGCACTTCACGCACAAGCGACAGGCTGACAGTCGGCAACCTCGCCTGAGAAGGATTTTTTTGTGTGTGTGTGGCGAGTTTCACAAGTCATTTCTCGTAAGTATAATTGACATTTCTTAGAATTACATCTGAGTTTCTTTGCCGTTTTGCCGGCTACCAGAGCTGCTGCTCTAAATTCGGCCATGTGCATTTGGTGACAACCGACGTCACCGCAAATCTTGAATTGCACCAAGGTTTCATTTTAAATTAGACCTTGACAGTGGTGTAGCAGTGTATCCAATAACTAAGATTAATTCTAAATGGTGCAACATAGCTTTGCTTCATTTTAAAAACGGGATGAAATAATTTTGAACTGTTTTACTAATCTTTTATAAGAGCTACCCTTAAATTAAATTAAACCTTGTTGGTACGCCCCATCTTTTTTTTAACCCAGATTTTGGCTTTGTTCTGTTGCTGTTGCTGCTGCTCACTACTTCAAAATCTTGCCACGTGTTTTATGTAAGACCCAATACATGCGAATGTGACAGTTTTTCTTTCTTCTTTTTTTTTTTAAGCCTGAAAAGGCTCGAGGCTGAAGGCAGGGACATTTTCAATTTATATAAAGTGTGGGAAGATTAGCAAACTAGATAAGTGAACCAGTCAAACCCGTTGAGACCTTAAATTTATACAAGAGAAAACTCGTTGTACTGTATGTTCATATGGAAACTTTGACCTGGCACGAGCCACTTCAGTTTTTTTTTTTAATCAAGTCCGCATAGGTCCATACTAAAATTATGAAAAAATAATGGTGCATTTCACCGTGTATTTTTAACGTTTGAAGACATTGAGGCTCGTTTCTCACATTTTCTTCAAAATTTGAGGAGTGGTTTAGACCACACTTTTTTTTCCCCCAAAATCTCTTAATAAGCTTGTGCTAACAAGCTTCCAGCAAATTTGAGATTCCTTTGACTACATGTCTGTCACTGAAACTGCATTACTTAGGAAGTTGATTTGAAGTCTGTCAGAATTTATTGGGCGGATTTGGCATTGTCATGTGTTATTTTCTTTTATCAGTGCATTACCTGTAAACAGATTTTGACATCAACTTAAAAGCTATCCAACATCTGAATTTAAAGACTAATGCGTGGGGAAAAAAGTCTTATACAAATCTAAATTGAGTTGCAAAGTGTACTTTTGTGCTTTGTAAAGTACAAAGAAGAAATGAGACCAAAATTGGCCTAAAAATTTAAGTATGTAGAAAATGTTTTGTATCCTGGCCTTTACTCCTTCCATTTTCATCCACACCTCAAACTTAGAAGAAAATCTGAGGTACAAGGGAATATTCATGGTTTATTTTTACATGGGGGGGGGGACTGCTTTTCATTTTAAAGTAGGTTGTTAAGACACTGTGATGCATTCAAGTTACATATTGACTGTGTTCACTAACCGTCTTTTCTCCGCCATCACAGCTTGCGAAAGAAACACGTCACCATCATGGGTAAAGGTACAGTGATTCTGGCCTACAGCGGTGGATTGGACACGTCCTGTATTCTTGTGTGGCTAATGGAGCAGGATTACGATGTCATTGCTTACATGGTACGGTTTGAAGTTTGCCTTGTATGCCTTTTCGTGCCCTTTTCATCCAGTTGATCAATATTTGCTTGACTGGCACAGACAGGGCTTAGGTGGTTTGTGCTGCTCATTTGTTAGCGCTACAATAGAATAAATAATGCCATTGCACCACACGTAGGCTTTTTGCATGTCAAGGCATTTGTGATCAGCACATTTCTCTTCTTTTCACTCTGGGTTTCAAAACAACTGCCTTTTGTTGCGCTCATTGGCCATTTACTGGAGAGCCGAACACAATTGTTCCTATAGAAAATACTGTCAAATGAGTTCAGCAAGATTGCACACAAACAACGACAACGTTTTATTGAAATGTTGTGTACAGGTGTTCAATAAATGTCCAACGCTCATTTTTTAAAAATGTGGTTGGGGGAATTAATGTTAATCTCCAATTTACCCAGTTTTTATTTAAATTTGATATAACCATGCTTGCATGCCTTTCTGTCATTTTCTTATCGAATACAGTTTTCAGTTATTTTTAGCCACATTTGATCGGACAGTGAACATGCTTTAATCGTAATCGTTTTCTCCAGCAGATGATAATCACTGAAAAGGAGTGCATTTGAATCACTGTGGTGTGTAATTATGTTTCCCTTCCCTTCTAGGCCAATATTGGACAAGATGAGGACTTTGAAGCTGCTCGTAAAAAGGCACAATGCCTTGGTGCCAAAAAGGTATGTGAGAGCAATTATTACACAAAATACCAAAGCCAAAATAGGACTACTCTGAGGACTATGGTATGAGGTTTTTAATTTGTATTATTGACTTATTCTCCTGTCCAGGTCTTCATCGAAGACCTTCGCACCGAGTTTGTGGAGGACTTCATCCTGCCCGCAGTCCAGGCCAACGCCGTCTACGAGGACCGATACCTACTGGGGACCGCGCTGGCTCGGCCCTGCATCGCCAAGCGCCAGATTGAGATTGCGCGGCGGGAGGGAGCCGAGTACGTGGCACATGGTGCCACGGGAAAGGTGAGCTCGTCGTTTGCATTCAGCGCAGTTTGGTTTGTCAGATTAGATCTGTCTTTTGTCGTTACACGTCACAAGTACAGTGCAATGAAATGGAGAACACATTTGGTAATTAACCACATTTTACAAAATGGGGTAATTTTTTGTTTTTTCTAGTTTTGCCTAGATTGGTGGCTGAAACACCAGGATAGCTAGATTGATAGATGCTTTATTTTGGTTAAACTACATCTGCACAAGATGTGTGCTTTCTAAATTTACATTCACATACAGTTGTGTGTTTTGTTTGTTCCTACCCTTAGGGCAATGACCAGATCCGTTTTGAGCTTGCTTTCTATGCCCTCTATCCAGAGGTTAAGGTGAGTCTGTTCACGTGTCGGCGGCAGGGAGTCAGTAGAGGGGCCCGAAAAGCACACTCACCCATTTGTCAATGTGTTCTTTGCAGGTTATTGCACCCTGGAGGGTTCCAGAATTCTACAACCGCTTCCGAGGGAGAACAGACCTGATGGAATACGCACAGGTATGATGGTGTAGCAAAAACATTTGGGCTTGTAGAGTACGTGCCCAGGCTGACTTGTACTCAATGTTATGGCCAACCAGATTGTCATGAGGCGGTTTGTACACTAGAGGGCGGTCATGACATGTACCACTGCTTGGCTACCTTGTTGAGGACTTCATTTTTCAGCTGTGTTTTGGAAAGTTTTTCTCTCTAAATCATTGTTTATCAACCTGCGTATTTTACCTTAGAAAAACCTAACAACATACCACCAAACAATACTGTTGCAAATTGAATGTAAAATGAAAGAAAGATATTTACTCGATGTGAACTCTTGGCCATTTTAGTTAAGCTAGGATTCTGTTGTATCAATGACGTGGATACACACGTTATTTGTGCCTTCTGCCATCTCGTGGAAGAGCATTTAATCGTTTTGCCTCTCACACTATGTTCTTTTATTTAAAAAATAAAATAAAATCTGACCATTTAAGTGAAATTGGGTCATTCCCTGCTGCACATCTGATGATCTGTCGTGGGCCAGCCCAGTGGTTTGGAATAATTGGCTAAAAAATACATTGCTATAAACAAACAATTCTTCACAATGACATAATGTTACTAATTTAGCCAGATGGCTGCTTTAACCGTATCCAGTGAATCTCCTCTGTTTCCATACATTTGAGGACTACGCATATCATAACATGTGCATTTTCTGTTGAACTACAGAAACATGGCATTCCTGTGCCTGTCACTCCAAAAGCCCCTTGGAGTATGGACGCCAACCTTATGCATATAAGGTAGGCCAATTTAAAGGGGAAGTCAACCCCCAAATTTTCTTTTCAATAATAAATTTTATGCAGCCCTACTAGTCTAAGCACTGCATTCTGTTTAATATTGCGTTTGTGGAATATGAGTTAAGCACTAAAATTCGCCCATTATCGGCCATCTCCGTAGGGGGGCAGGGGCAGCCATTTTGTCATGTGCTGTCGACTGAAAATGACCTCACACTTGCTCAGGGCTCAGCTTCAGAAAACAGGTGAGCCGTTTTCTGAAGCTTGGGCCTTACCTGAGCCCTAAGCAACTGTGAGGTCATTTTCAGTGGAGAGAAAGTAGCTAAATGGCGGCCCCCTGAGATGGCAAAAAAAACGGGTGGATTTTACTGCTTCACTCATATTCCACAAACACAATACTAATCAGAAAGCCGTGTTTAGACTAGTAGAGGCGCATAGAACATATTACCGTCAAGAAAATGTTTGGGTTGATTTTAAAAAAAAAAATTTTTTTTTGCTGTATGCATAGAATCCGTTTCACTCAATATTAACATTGTTTCTTAACAGTTATGAGTCTGGCATCCTGGAAAACCCCAAGGTAAGCGCTGTCAAACACATAATTCATTAAAAAAAACAAAAAAAAAACACTCCAATTTTATATATTTATTTTTGTTTTTTTTTTATTTTTATTTTTTTGAAAGCTTTTCTTCAACATGGCTAAGTTTTACTTCGATAACACAAGGCATTTCAGTTGTGTAGTGTCTCATTCTGAACAGGAAGGGGCATTATGTGTGTGTAAAATAGGACATGCACTAGATTGGAGACAAAGAAGAACATAGTTTGCTGGATTTAAGAAAGGTACCTACCTAGGTACCAGGTGGCTAAAGTGTTATCACTGCATGTTATCGGAGCGTTTGTATGGATACAAATAGACGTACAGGTTGCAGCGTCCCTAATTTTGAGTCCTTGTCCCCAAACCAGAGCACTGAAAAGCAACCTTTTTTGGAGCAGATTGCAAGATTATCCATAAACATCGACACGTTTTTGAAAGGATCAATTTTAGTCATTACCCCACGGCGCAGGATAATTGCCCACTCTTTTCGAGATCTGATAATGGGGAGAAGAGAGGAAAATTGCTCAAACTCGGTCTGATTATCGGTATTCGCGTAGACGGCTTTTATTTCTTAAGAGCAAAACATACTGGGATATGATGACAGAATATTTGGTAGCCAGTTCTTGCTCTGATTTTGACATTTGTAGGATTTACATTTATCCCCTTGCTTTGACCCTCAAAGAATATTAGCTCCCACACAAGCGCCTCCAGAGACAGACTCTTCCCCAGGGTTGCCGGGGAGACTTTGTGTGAGTTTTGCCGGCGGTCAGAGGTGACTGCAGTACATACAGGTTGCCCTCTGCGACCCGCAAAGCTCCTATCTCACAGCATCGGCGATGTCTGTATGTGTCACGGCTCACCCAGGGTCCTCGCCGGGCCCTGGGAAGAGCCGGGGACACACAGACACTGACTTGTCGTCAGTGACGCTTCGACTAATTCCCGATTTCATGGGAGCCGGGAGGGGGGAGGGAGGGAAGGGTTAGGGCATCGCGCCCAGCTGGGGCCTCCTGAGTTCCAGCCCCAACTCTTCGGGTGCTCATTGTTCCGGCGGTCTTGCGCTGCCGCAGGCTGCGACGTGGGAGGGGAGCCATTTCACCGTGACACCGTGACACCAAAATGTCACCAGTAACAGTAAAGTACAAAGACGGCGTGCCCAGACAGATGAGTCTCCCTCGGCGCACACACACACACACACACACACACACACACACACACACACACACACACACACACACATACCCTCCTCCCGATGGACGGGGTGTCACAAGGCGGCGAAGGGTCCCGCGCTGCTTGAGTTGCGGTCGCACTGTAACTCAGACCTCTGTCTCGCCTTCGCTTTCCCACCCCTCCTGAGAGCTCAAACTGTTGATAAACGTTTTGAAAGGAATGCGAGGGAAAAGCTCAGGGCATTGCAACGTATGATGACAGTATTGTTTCATTCATAGCAGCGGTTTGTCTTGGGCCAGTTACTCCCAACGCTGAGTCGATGGATGGCATTATATACAAAGAAATATTTTGAGAGCGGGGGTTCGCAGCGGTAAAAAGGATTTGAATACATTACCCTGAGGAAGGGTAGAAAGGAGAACCTCCAAAGTTGAACGCAATGCGTTCTGTGATGCCGGTCAGCAGTTGGAACGTTTCCCATTCCGATACACCGGCGCTCATGTAAAATGGTGTTTGAGGGGTAGGGGGGTGGGGAGGTGTTGGTACAGTGATGCCCTCCCCTGGGGGAATTGCCAATGCACTTGCGGTCCATTTATTAAACAAAAATAGTGCAACAGTGCATCTGATTCACCCCAAATAAATTTCAGCTTCCTCACCATCAGATGGATCTCGTCATTCAAAGGAGCCAATCAGACGAAACGTACACAAGAATTTCCAAGGCAACTTACTATGCAACACAGTGAAGATGTGGCATGACGGAAGCCTTGGATCAGAAAGAAAAGCTGACTAGATCTGAATTTTATTTTTTCGTTGATGACTTCAAACGGGGGTGGGCAAGCACTCACTCTCGTTTCACATGAGTTTGAATGTGATTGGATAATTCTGAACACGGCCGATAGAGGGTAAAATGATGGGCGCACTTGTGCAATTATCGCAGATGTTTATTTTTACTTTATCTCTCTTGAATAGAGGCAAGAGGCTTGAGTTTCCCATCTTGGCCATACAAACGAAAAAAATTCACCCGAAGTTTAAAATCTCACCAAAAATCCACTCGCACTGGCTGATTGACCCGGAAGGTCATCTCAAGTCGATATCTCATCTCTGTATCAGCCCTTCTCTCCTCCTGTTACTGCCCTCAAGGCAGAGGACCAAACTTCACAACACCCCCTCCCACTTCCACCTGTGGCACAAAATACTCCTACTCACACGACCCCCCCCCCCGACCCCCCCTTCACTTCCCTTTGCTTGTCACAGTTAAATGAGGAAATGTCCTAATGGTCGATCATATGTTCTGCTCTAGATAAGAGCCAAACAGAGTTCAGGTTACTCTGCAATTAAAACTCAGAATCCTTCCTGATAGCATTTAACACAAAGGTCCTGCTAACGCCCCCCCCCCCCCAATCTTATAGCGTTAACTTACGTGAAGCAAGGCTACTTGAGCCTGTCAGCCACTTTCCATAATGTCCTGCACAGACAATTTCATTATCACTGTTGGACGTCGTCTCCTTGCACGCGAGCAGTCGGGGCAGCGGGGGGGGGTCCCACAACCCCCTCAGGCAGCCTGACACTCGTCCAGAGTCATTAAAACATCAGCTCACTCTTAATTATAGCCTCTATCAGTGAGCCTCCCCCACCCCCCACCCCAACTCTGACCCGCTTTGTTCTTCGCGATGGGGAAGTGCATGGACCATCGCTTGCGTTGACCAGAAGTAAAGAAGCGTAACGAACGGTGGGTGGCTCCGTTCACCTCGAGGAAGTGCAAAACGTGTTTTCGGTCTGCATGGTTAGTCGGAAAGATGGATGGGAGACACAGAAGAGCGCCTGTAGGGGAAGGAAGTAGAAGTTTGTCGGAGTAAGTGCGCGCGTGAATGTGGGCTTTGAAGCAAAGAGGTCAGCGTTTGGGGTCTTTGCGCTCAACTTCCCTTCGGGCGTGCGCGGCATGACCTGTAATACTTAGACCAGTCATTACCATACTCTGTGCCATGGCACTTGAGTGTGGAATCATCAGGTGTGCCGCGGGAAATGACCCACTTTGGTTTGATTCGTCGCAAAAATTGCTGATTTACAGGAAACGTCCCTGTCGGCGACGTGTGCGACCTGCGTAACGGTTAAATGCTCTTCTGTTAGTTAGAATGTGCATCATCAACCTGTGTATCCACCTGTTGCCATTCATATAACAGAACGTCACGGCATGAACAGATTTCGATTTTTCTTTTTTTCTGTGCTGTATGTTGCAGATGTGGCACAGATGCAGAACTCGTTTTAAGATTTAAAAAATCAAGAATAATGACAGTTATTGTGGATTACATATGACAATTTGAAATTTTGGTTCAGACTATAGCAAGCATCATGGAACGTGACATGCTTGATTTGCTTTCACGTGCCATATAAAATGATGTGGCGGGCCAGATCTGGCCCCCGGGCCTTGACTTTGAGACCTGTGCCGTAGTCTTACCCATACTGATTACTTAAAACCGTGCATACTTTTTGTGGCGCTTTTGTTTGGTGATGTGCTGTGAAATGTTTTCAAATGTAAAATATGTGCCTTGACACAAGTAAGGTTAAGAAACTGGGCTAAGCATGAGGATGCCAAGAGATTTCATCGGATACAGACAAGAGTCTGGGCAGCTGTAAGGAACTCGGAAAGTGCTCTACTTTCGGCCAGATTTGGCGTTGAACGTACACTCTCAAAGACAAGTCCTTTGGAAGCGAGCACCAAATATAAACATTTCTCCAGCACATTATGTGGATTTTTCTTTTCTTTTTTTTTTTGGTCTCAGTTTGCCACGTTTGCATTTGCAAGAGAGGCCAGAAACGTAGTGATTTAAGCGTCATTTCCGAACCATTGCACCAAAGATGTTTTCAGCGCGGCCCTCTCAACTCTCACTTTGGTGAGTGCCCCCCCCCCCCCCCTTCTCCCCGCCGCCGCCGCTGCCTCTTTAGGCCCTGTTGGCTTCGATTGAAAATCAATGAGGCACGTAATATGTGGAAAGATAGAAATTTACTTGCTTTAAGTTCATGCGTCAGCCCTCTCCATGGCACTATGGGCCCCGTTTAGCACAACAATATGGCCAAAGCGAAGACTGCCAAAGGAGTTGCTCTGTGCGACATGATGCTGCGCTTCACGCACCATTTGCCACCAATACCCGACCCCCCTCCACTCCCTCCCACCTTCTCTATCTCTACCTTTCCCCGCTCTCCCAGGGCCACGGCTTTGGGACAAGTCCACCTGCAGGGGGTTTCAATTGAAATGCATTGATCTTCAAACACTGCAAACAAGCCCGTTCCCTCACTTTTCCCTATTTTTTTCTTTTTCCTTGTATCCAGCCAATCTTAAGTGTGCGCTCCCATTTTATTGTGCTACGTTCGCATTTGAATATTTAGGGCTGTCAAGTCCCACTCGGAATTGTTGTGTGTCGTTTTTCTTCTGCCAAATGAATCGCCTTTCCGGATCCCTCAGCATAGCTTGAAAATTCACCAATTTCTGTCAGGTCACGTGTTGATGATTTACATATTAAAAAAAACTAGAAAAGTTCTCCTGCCACCATTTAGACTGGTCATAAGGAGGGCTCCTCTCAAGTCCTTAATTGCAGCATTCTGAGGCCCTCGATCCACCATCAAATGTCGACATGAAGGAGCGACTGTCTCATTGTCTACTTCATACCTCACTCTCCTGTCAGTCACCCTCCTCCTTGACAAAATTTTCTGGTGGAAGCTGCTGGCATGTATACAGTGGAGCTAGGAACTAGGAAGTTGCAATTAGATGATGCATGAGATGAGCTGAAGGTTTCAGGGACATCATGTCTGTTTGACTGAAAGTTGGATGTTTCTCTTTGCAGTAGCCATTTTAGAAGGAATTCCAGGGCTCACACTTTAACAAACTGCAAGCATAGAATTTGCCCAAATGAGCCCCAATGGATGCAGGTCTCTAAGACTGATGGCAAAAGGCTTAATTGCCAAGCTTTTTTCCTGGAACTATTTTATATTGGTGAAGCATCATCAGTTGTCTGTAATGCAAGGCTTTTTCTTTAACGGTTTTGACTAGGGACCATGTATGTATTTTAGGGGTCCCCCATATACGACATGCCTGCATAGGATCGTTTTTTGCAGTAATTCACAAATGGAAAAAGGGGCTCCGAGGTTGATACTTGCTGCTTTCATTCAGATTGACATGACACCATTGTGAGGTTGAATGTAAGACTAAAGTTCTTTTCAATCAAGCACCTACCGAGTCTCGTTTCAAACCCCAAATTAATTTTTTTAAAGACTTGCGCTTTAATCACAACCCTGTAAATAAAATTCAGCCCATCAAGACTATCCTTCAAAAAAAAAGGCTTTTCAGGTAGGTCAGTCACCCGAATCCTGTTCACTCATTTGGCATCTTTTAGGCCACTGAGGCATAAAATTCCAGAGAGGTTGACACGGGCTCCTTCTCCGTCAATTTTGGTGTTTAGTTAAAAGGGAAAAGTGTTTCAGATGCTCGTTTTCACCTCACTGACGAATGCCGATTAGTTATTGTATGATGATTCAGTGTCTGGTAAAGCTTTCCATTTAAATGCACTCAGTAGTTATTTTGCATAGCAGCCCTACAATTTGCCGCCACTCGGAGGACACCGTCCTGCGGCTGTGTAATTGTTGGCGGGACGCGCGACACGCTCTTTTTCCTGCCAACGAAGCCGAGACGACTTAGGGACGCAAACATCTGACAGCCGGGGACAACTTCAGTCAATTTAGTTGTGCGGATGCCCATTTGGCGCCAGGAAAGTGAAAGAATAGGAAAGGACTTGTCAGGCAGAAAATTGACGACGGAAGATGAAAGCGGTGTCAACAGAAAGGGGGAAAAATACATGCAGACAAAAACAAGTACATCATCTAAAATCCCTACTCTCCACAATGTTGTTTTATGGTTACGTTCTTCCGCACCAAAGGCATCCAAGCATGCCTTATGGACCTTGTTTTGTGAACTGGGGCACATAATAGAGTCTTCCCCAAACTGTTAGTCGGAAGCATGATTTTTTTTGAATAGTTGATGTCAATTCATAGGTGCATCTTCAAAAAGAAAGTATTTGAGATATGTGCAGTGTCTGATATTACCAAACCTGCCTCCACAACAAGCAGCAGTTTGGCATTTATTGAATCATCCTTGTGAAACAAACAAACAAACAAAAAAAAAGACAATTGCTTGTTTCAAACTCTTTATTGCCACTCCCAGTTTGTTTATTTAAAACATAATATATAATATATAAAACAGAGGATTATATATTCTGCACTTTAAACAGCCACATAACTTCTGTAGCATAACGCGAACACAGGTATCCAAACTATGGCCCGGAGGCCATTTGCGGACCACCGTCAAGTTTTCAGCGGCCCGCGACATGACCAAAAAAAAACTAAAAATGATATTTGACATAGGCTGCAAGGTTAGTTAAAAAAAGGTGAAGATGGGCAGAGTGAGAAGGGAGGCCGTCAGAAAAAAAAACGCCGCTCTATCATAACACTTCAAGCAAACACAAATGGTGGAGCAGCATTTATAGATAAAATCTAACGGTAACAGTTACTGTTATATTCTTTATCTACTTCGGATAATTTTAACTGTGCATTGGGTATGAACGAGGTCCTGATGATCTATTTATTTATTTTGGGCGGGGGATGTTACCCATTCCGATACTTGGCAGAATAAAATTCTGGTCCAGGGTGTCTCAACCCAGATTCAACTGGGACTGACTCAAGCTCACCCGCGACCCTAATAAGGATAAAGCGCTTAAGATGATGGATGGATGGAGTTCCCTGTATTAAAGGGACACACATACAGTAAAATAAAAAAAGAAAGATTGATTTTTTTTTCTCCCCTTCCCCCCACGCCCACTCCACTCCTGACATTTTCAAGTAACTGCTTTTCACGCCTCATCATCTCTGTTCTTCTGCTAGCCATGTGTCAATTTCACACAAGAATCTTCTCCTGTGATGAGGTCTCGGAAGGTTGTTCTTCAGTGCGACTGAAAGTATAACTTTTTTTTTTTAAATGTTCTTTTCCAGAACCACGCTCCAACTGACCTCTATCAAATGACCAAGAACCCAGAAGACACGCCCTCCTCCCCTGACGTACTGGAGCTGGAGTTCAAAAACGGTTTGTGTGTATTTCAACCATTGGAACACCATTCTGTCATTTGTCATTTTTGGGATGACAAAACACAACACATAAAAGCTGTCTTAATAGTGCCTCAAACACCCATTTGGACACAAACAATTGATCGGCACTATGCCGCTTCGGGACTCAAAGCAGCAGTCTCAGTGCGATCTTGTAGGTAGCTTAAAGCCTTCGCATACAAAATAGGAGATCGTATACTTCCTTATCTTACTCCATCACTAAAATAACATGGAGCAAATGCGCCATGATCTCATTTTGTCCCAAATTTGTGATTGGCATTTTCAAACGTTCATATAGATAATATTATTTCCGATTAATTATTCTACAAAAGATCGTCTTCCTCATCTGCAGTTGAGTATTTGCCCCTTTTTTTTTTTTTTTGCAAGCTCCCTTTTTAAAAGTCATTTGTCTCAAGTGTTGACGTCCAGCCTGTCAGCCACTCTTGTTACTTAACATTGGCCACTGTCACCGCAGGGCTGCTACTCCAACACTGACCCCCTTTGCCACTTTATCACCACTGACCACCCAGACTTACTATGCCCAACCTCGGCGCATTTGCCGGCTGTAAACCTGCCTTGTTTTGCCGCAGGCCACGCGCGCGCGCGCACACACACACACACACACACACACACTTATAAGCCGGAAGTCTTGCTAATATGTCGGCACCCCGAGGGGCCCCGAGGGAGACGCTCATTAGATATGTTGCCCACGAGGGGCTGCAATAGTGGAAAGTGTCACATGTTTGCGCAAAGCGAAAATGGCAGAAAACATCCCAGCCGGGGGGCAAATAGCACAGATGTCTCTTCATCTCCCAGCGGATGAGGAGTAATCGTGGGGCGGCTGGTGGACACTAGCTGCTCTTATCAAGGAGCCAAGATACACATTTTGAATGAGAAAGAATTCTCAACAAATGACGCAAAAAATTGTCACATTAAGTTGATGCTAGTGTTAACTTGACACATACATTTTCCACATTGAAATAGCATTCATCTGTTCCAGCCCCCAAAAATCAACTCCCATTTTTCGTTTTGTGTTTTTTTTTCTTCTTCAATAAATAAAGTTGTAGTATATGGGGGCAGGGGGATTAAGAAAATAGAATGCAAAGAAATAAACTGGTTTCATAAAGTGTCATTACTGTACGTAGTGAAGTTGGATGTCGGCCTTTAAGGGCCGTGACCTATTGAGCAACCTCGGGCTGGAGTCAGGGTGGTCAGTTAGTCTGCGTGTGAGCATCTGGGCGTGAGTTGTGGCCTACAGCAGCTTCTCGTGAATGTTCTCCTTTTGTGTTCGTGTTTGATTTGTTATGCCGGTCAATAAACAGTTGGTAGTGCACCCTCGGAAGAGTTGAAATTTACTTACAGGCTTTTATTCTGTTCTAGGAGAGGAAACAGGTGATTACAAATGTAAATGGAACCTTCTGCCATCGAGTTTAACAGCATTTCATTGTTCTGCCTGTCCCTATCTGTTGATGGCATTTATAGATAAACATATGTATGCTATTTAGTCTAAACAATCATTTCTGGACCAATAATGTGAAGTTGGATCATCTCTTATGGCACACCTGATGATCTCTCATGGCACGTACAGTTGTTGGGTATATGTATAGTGCCGCCATCTCACATGAAACCAAGTGATCGAGTCATGTCACCCGACGGAGCAGAGCCGCAAAACCCTGCCTGTTTTTTTTTAGATTTTTTTTTTCTTTATTCCCAGCCCTGTGCGCAGTTTTCACCCGTATTCTCTTTGGCTTTTATGAAGCGTCCTATGACAAAAGCTGTTTTAGTTGTCCACACAAAGGCCCCGAGCCCGCTCCTCCCTCTGAGCACAAGATCAGCACAAGAATGTTTTCACTTCAACCGCCACCCCCCTCCCCCCCCCCCTCGCCGCCTTTTTCATCCCTACTTTTTCTCACCCAAGTTTTCTCACTGATTAAAAAAGAATATTTAACAACAGGAACCTTTTCCATTCCCCCCGTACTTCTCCCTCTCATTTTTTTCCATCCCTCCCTCCCTTCACGCCAAAGAAATAGGAGAGACAGAGAGGAAAAATGTAAAGCAGTAATTTTTCGTACAACTGTGTCTGCGGGCCCATTGTCTGCACTATTTGGCTGCGGGGGAAAAAAAAAACAACAAAGAAAAGGATCGCAGGGAGAAAGAGAGAGCGCCATTTCGGTGAATGATGTGAGCCACAAAATGATGGAGAGAGCGGGCAAAATGCAGGAAAAAGGGCCAACCCCTAGACTCCCACGTTCGTCCACTTAATTTATTTGAACTTTTAATCTAATTATTAGCGATCCGGGAGCGGGGGGTTGTGGCGTTCATAATAAACCCTCTCCTGAACTTTTTGCTTTCCATGGGAGAGCAGCAAGATTCCCGCGATATGCGAATGGCCCGTCAACAAAGCCCTGTCCAAGAAAATTTGTCAAGTCCTTTACATGTCAGCCCCACCAGCCCCCTCCCAACGCTGTTGTATCAGTAGCCTTTTCCAAATCAAGGAAGAACTATTTTTGTGTGTGTGTGTGTGGGGGGGGGGGGGGGGTCTGCCCTCAACATTTAGCCCACATCTGTCTTTAAAGAGCCCCATTAAGCAGCAGGGTGACAATGATGGATGCCAAAGTGGGTGTCTCCCGGTCAACAAAATAAACTATTGATGTGTGTATCTGATAGGAAGATTGGTAAGTTGGTCTCTCTCTCCCGCTCTCACACACACACACACACACACACACACACACGCACACACACACACACACACGCACACACACTGACAGTGTCAGCGCTAAACAGAGGGCAAGTAACAAAGCTGTGTGTTTAATTGAATTAGGTTAAGGCCGGCCCACAATTTCACAGCTTTCACATGCGCCGAGCCTTTGAATTTATTAGCCATTCTTTGTTGTCGCCTCCTTTTGTGAGGCCTTTTTAGTTGACCGTTATTGATTTCAATGACTTGTAATGAATACTTGTCACTCGATATTTATTTGAGCTTATTTGTCATGCCGAACGATTCATTTTTCAGGTGAGAGTAGACCAAAAGATTGCAAACGCAGCCCGTGTTGGAGAATATGATTAAGGCTAACTTGGAATTTGGTTTTAGTTTCAGGTTATTTATTTCAATGACTCATTATGAATACAGGTAATTGCCACCAAAGGCCTTATTTTTATGCCCAGTGCAAATCTTGTGCAAAGTAGTTTCTTAGATGGCAACAGTTAGAAATAGGTGTCTGCGCTGTTGTGGGAGTGAAGAGCCCATAACTGTTTATTTGATTAATTATTCTTCACAATTAGTTTAAGTGAAAACGTTTACGTCCTGATCATTCGTTGAATGTTGGTATATGAAATAATTAAGATTTTGTTACCATATAAGAGGCAATAGTTTGTATGCAGTGTGCGTGTCCACAATCGCATATTGGGAAAATGAACGACTTCAAAACAGCACTTGCAAATTACAAATGAAGTTATTTTTATTCACTTATATTTCCACTTGAGTACATTTCCTCTATTTAAAAAAAAGCACAGTCAATATAAGGAAATGTATTTTTATCATCTTTTCCCCCATGTTTCTTTCAGCAAGCAGATCAATAGGTCTTACGTACGTCCGACTGACTGTCTAACGCAGGGGTGTCAAACTCATTTCACATGGTGGGCCACATACGGCCTGGGTCGATGTCAAGTGGGCCGGACCATTAAAATGATACCATACTTTGCTATAAATAACCAAAACAATATGTCTTTCCTTTGTTTTGGTATAAAGAAGCACAAGAACATTAGGAGAATGTTGAAATTAAATGAACATATCTTTTACAAAACATTTCATGAAGCACCTTACATTTCCTTCGACAAATGTGCAATTTACTTTTATCATTCACATATATGCATTGCAACTGATCCCACTGATTGTACAAACTTTAACAAGTAATTGGTTTTGAAAAATATAGTAATGCACTTTAAGATTAAACGAGATTTATAAAGAAAGGAAGTTTTAAACCATTTACACGTGCATATAAAATCTAAATGTAATCCCTGCCTACACCATTTATTCTGTGTCTTTTATGCATTTTCTTCACTTTTAAATTATCCTGTGGGGCCTGATTGAACGGCCCGCGGACCGTATGTTTGACACCACTGCTTTACATAATCATCTCGCGGGCCGGATTAAAGTCCTTTGCGGGCCGGATCCGGCCCGCGGGCCGTAGGTTTGACACCCCTGGTCTAACGCATGCCTGTGACAGCACGTTTATTCATGCAAAATTGCCTTTCCACTTAAGTCCCGCCGTTGCTATTTCTTGCATCAAAAAGCACGTTCGGAAAAGGTTCTGATGAAGTAGGCTCCATTTTTTTGAATACGCTGCAGCACAGCTCAAAGAAAAACATCTGCACTGTAATTATATACTTCACTTGGATTATTTGTCATCATTTTTAAAATGAAATGATGTAATCTTTTTTTTTTTTTTTCCCCCTCTCCAGGTGTCCCTGTCAAGGTGGTCAACGTGAAGCAAGGAATCTCGAAAGACAGCCCTTTGGATATCTTTTCGGGCCGGATCCGGCCCGCGGGCCGTAGGTTTGACACCCCTGGTCTAACGCATGCCTGTGACAGCACGTTTATTCATGCAAAATTGCCTTTCCACTTAAGTCCCGCCGTTGCTATTTCTTGCATCAAAAAGCACGTTCGGAAAAGGTTCTGATGAAGTAGGCTCCATTTTTTTGAATACGCTGCAGCACAGCTCAAAGAAAAACATCTGCACTGTAATTATATACTTCACTTGGATTATTTGTCATCATTTTTAAAATGAAATGATGTAATCTTTTTTTTTTTTTTCCCCCTCTCCAGGTGTCCCTGTCAAGGTGGTCAGCGTGAAGCAAGGAATCTCGAAAGACAGCCCTTTGGATATCTTTTTATTTCTAAATGAAATTGGGTGAGCTTTTTTTTTTCTTTAATGTATTGATTTAATGTGATATTTATATCCATTTAATTTGAAATGTCTCTCTAATTTGACAAAAAGATAAACATGCTTCCAACTTTTCCTTTGATTTCTTCATATGCTAATTTTACGTCAAAATTGCATTTATTCATTTTGTTTTTTTACGTTTTGATGTAAATGCCTCCACATGGTATTTATTAGGAAAAAGCAGAAGGTCAAATTCTGTGAAATGATTGAATGAATATTCAGTGTGATCACTTGATGTATTAAAATGTCAATACTCCGTGACTCCCTCAGAGGAAAACACGGAGTGGGTCGCATCGACATCGTGGAGAACCGTTTCATCGGCATGAAGTCCCGAGGTGAAAACAATTACGCTTTTATGCTCATCTGGAAGCTGCCCCGCCCAACCCCTTCCTTTTCACATCTCCCCCATTCGTGTGTGTGTGCTCTTAAACAGAAAACGCATCTCAATATTTCAACTTTGTCTTCTCTCCAAGCCTTCCTTTTTCACGCAAGCTTTTTACGCAATTTGCAGTTATTTCACATGAACACTTTGAGAGTCGGTAAAAGCAAAATGCGTTTTCCTGTTTGGAATTATAGACTCCCGTTCCCGTTTAGTGTGTGTGCAAAATATCCACGGGGAGGAAAGCAAACATTTGAGTGTGTACACCTGCACCACAGGACGCGAAACATCTGTCTGTCACTTGTGCGGTCTGTTGTCACTTCATCTCCGCTTGTGACAAGCATCGCAGACGATTGAAAATAAGCGGGCGAAAACTCCGCGATCACGCACACACCGACACACCTTTTCAGCGGCCATGACACAACACTGGCAGGTACAAATAGGGCAAGTGGGAAGCCTGCTCTTCTCTCCTGTCCCCAATACAAAAGAATCAAAGGGAAGCGCGACCGGGAAGAGGTGGAGGGCAAGCGCTTGTGTCTGAGTGCTTGAGTAACTCCCACTGAGTGCATTTGACGCCATCTTTCTATAGAATGACAATGAGAGGTGGCGGATGTCATACTTATTTATTTATTTATTTATTTTGTCAGGTCATATTTATTTGTGTCAAAGAATGTTGCCACAAAACAATCAGCAATCCTGCCACAGCACTGTCTGACCTCTGACCTTTTTGTGCACAGGCGGAGATAGTCAGAAAACACTGTTTGGGAGACCATGAAAGACGATTTAAACGTCCCACTTTCCTGAAAAAAAGAGCAAGAAAGTACAGTAGATTTATGACGTCCACCCCAAAAAAAATCAATAGAGCAGCAACTGTTGAAAGCCCTAATTGTATCAAGAGTCTTGTATAAAGACAGAAAGTGATACTGTGGTAAAAGTAAATTTGTTGTTGTTTGTTCGTTTTTGAAAATAACACTCAATGTATTGTATCGTAGCATATCAAATGGAATTGTTATCTCACTGAATTGAATTTAAAAAATTTTGGGGGTTTTGTTATGCTGACGGTTTGTATGTGTTGCTGGACCGTTTGTGTTCCAATCCGATAGTGCCCGAAACGAACACTGTATTGTATTTCACGGCTCCTACAGTTTGCCTGTAGGTTGAGTAAATAGCTCGCCTTCAAGTTTTGCTTACCTGTCGTCACTTTATGAGATTAAAACCTCAAAAAAGCACTGGAGGTGTTTTCTCCTAAAGCTTTAACTCAACTTTCAGATAGCTTCCCATTGTTCTTCCTCCGCCGCTAAGCCGTTTTTAAGCCAAGTTTACTTGGAGGCAGTTTTAACTTATTTATCTGATAGAGGCAGGCTAGCGGAAATGTCCCTACGCGCCCCGCGCGAATCCCATTGGATCACCAAAAGGCCACAAGCCCTTGGAGCTCAGGTGGCGGCCGTTTGAGGCTTTGGACAATTAGCGACGGGGCTAAGCTGGGCTTCTGGCCGCCAGCGCCCCAATAAGTGCTTCTCCATTTTCAGGTCAGGACTGGCACTGGAGGATTTGGAGACGTACAGACCGGGCGATTAAATAGCATCGCAGTTCTTTTCGGCCTGTAACCATCTTGTCCCCCACTCCCACCTCACTTTTTTTCGTTTGGGGGGGTGTTGAGCTGACATTTGAGTGACAGCTTCATTTCTGCTGTCAGCCACCTCATTTTTTTTCAGCCCCTCCCTGACCAGAGGGGGTAAATTGCAGGGTATAGGCAGAGCCCCGGTCCACGCTGGTGGCTGGCAGGGGCCGCCTACCCTGTCATTTAGCCTGCATGGACACACTCTCCCATATTTAGCAAGGAGCTTTCTGTCACATGATGACAGATGACTAATATTCATGTATTCAGAGAGGCCGGTGAACAGCTTCTTTTGACATGCACTTGTTCAAAAAGATTTCAAGTTCAACTTTTTTTTTTTCCTTGGAGGAAAAAAATATTCTCATAATATTTATTTCATAGGACTATAAAATATTATGACTGTATTCCCTCAACATGAAAGCTCCCTAATATGTTGACGCAAGTCTCATAAAATGATATATTCCTTCCCCCTATAAAATTAAATTGTACTATTAATTGTGGTTATATTTATTTGTCAGGGATCTACGAAACCCCTGGAGGTACCATCCTGTTGGAGGCCCATCTCGACATTGAGACGTTCACCATGGACAAGGAGGTGCGCCGAATCAAGCAAGGGCTCGGGATCAAGTTCTCTGAACTGGTCTACAACGGCAAGTCACTCAAATATGAAATGATGCCGCGTTTATCCGTCCATCTATCTTAACTTGCGCGTTTGGTGCGAAGGTGCGTGGAGCTCGGGTGTCTTAATCCTCCCTTCTGCTCAGTCCCCAGTCTCCTCTGCACCTTCATCCACATAATAGGATCAGTGCCATTTGAGACTGGACTATTCGGCCACTTCACTTATACCCTCCAGAGACAGGCCCCCGAACACGCGCACACACACGCGCACACACACACACACACACACACACACGCTCGTACTTAAAATGCATTACCCAAAAAAGCAGGTCAGAGAATTAAAATAAATAAATAAATAAATAAAATAAATTACTCATAAACTTCCTATAGCTTGTGTAAATATTAAAATATTTTTGTTAGGGTACACAGGATTCAGTGGAAAGAGATTAAATACAAACCCCTCCCAAAATGCATTTTTAAAATAAATGATGAAAATAATAAACAAAGTATAGTTGGGATAAAGAGTAACACAAAATATATATATATAACATTTCATCATGTTAAAGTCTATTTTTAGGAAGCGGGTACAGGCGACAAATGCTATTTCTCGAGTGTTCAATGTAATTAATCGTATGCATTTTGTTTAAAAAAAAAGATGCCATCAGATCAATACACGGAGCAATTTGCTAAATAATATTTGCAGTAAATGAATTCAGAATGAATACTGTAAAACACACATTTGAATTGATCAGTTTTAGAAAAAATAAATAAATCAATGCAACAAAGGTTACAGGACTCCTGATAAAGGAAAAAGCCCCTTGGGCCAGATTAAAGAGCAAGACGTACTTTGCGCACCCCTGGATTAAATCCATTGGCTTTAAAATATTAATAACACAGCAGATAGAAATACGTGTGTGCGCGTGTGTGCGTGTGTGTGTGTGCGTGTGTCTTATTTTAACAATCCACCTGTCCTGCATCTGTTTTCCATTACTACCACATTTAGTGTCCCCCAGAGACTGTGTATCCCTATCCTGGCAGAGAGATGGACTAAAAGAATAAAACAACCACGATATATAAAATGCACATAAGCATGAGATTTTTCCAGCAAGTCCTTTCAGACGTGCGACACGCTTATTAATGCTAATGGCCAACTAATATACTTGGATTACAATAATTAAAGAGATTAAAAAAGAAGAGTGTGTAGGGCTTTCGTCTTTGGACGAGGACAGGCGATGAGGTGGAGGTCAGGTACTGATCAGAAGAGGACCCCTGCCAAGTGGTGCGGGACCTCCTCAAACAAATGCACACACAAGCCTCCTCCATCTGTCTGGAAAAAACGCGAAGGGGGAGGGAGGTCTACAATTCAACACACACTCCATCCACAGCCATTGGTCAGCCCCCAACAAAGTAGCAGCAGTCGTCATCTTACCTTTTCTGCTTTTTTTTTTTCTTTTGATACAGTGAATCGTGATTTGTATGAATTTTAATCTGGAAGTCGGAATGCACTACAGACTAACGCTAACATGCTTAATGCTAATGTGATAACAAAGTGAAAGAGTAATTATTTGAGGAAAAAAAAACCCTCCTGGCCACACATAAATACATACGGAGACCCTAAAGTGACATGGAGACCCCCCCCCAAAAAAAACGACTTGTAAATAAATCCTCTTCTGCTGCCATTGTCTCGCTGAACTGGAAGCTAGCTAACGCAGGTAAATAAGCTAGCACTTGCGTTGAAAGATGTTTCTCATCTTAACGAGAAACATAGATGTATTTTTTTTTCCTCTATGTCACTTAAGGGGCGCTGTATGTACAGTAAAAAACAAACGTACAAAAGTACAGCAGTAATTGAGTGCACCTTCCTGTACTACCTGATGAGATTTTTTTACGCCGTTGCTAACTGGGAGATGTCACATGGTTGTAATCAAAGGGCCCCCTGAAAATAAACAATACCAGCCGCTGTACAGTATACTTAATGTGTTGTGTTTCCTCTCGTAGGCTTCTGGTACAGTCCAGAATTTGACTTTGTGCGCCACTGCATAGCCAAGTCGCAGGAGAACATTGAAGGCAAAGTGCAGCTCTCCGTCTTCAAGGGCCAGGTTTACATTCTTGGACGAGAGTCGCCCAAGTCGCTGTATAACGAGGAGCTGGTCAGGTAAGCAAAGAAGACGACGATGAACATGTATAGGGTCTGTGTTTATGCTTCAGCAGCAGTCACTAATATTTTTTTGGGGGGCTGGTTTAACAATTGTAACGCAATATTTTGACGGACCAACAAAGAAACAAAAAAAAAACCAAATAATTCTGTTGAGTACAAGTTGAAAAGGATTTGCCAATTGTTATATTCTGTTTGTACCTCAAAAAGCTCTTAACCCTTTCATGCCACTGTAGTAACCACTGTCCCTGAAAGGGTTAAATTCGGAAATCCAAAAGTTGCGGTCCCACTGGAGAATTTTTACACCTCCGTGCAGCCTCGTACCAAATGTCTCACTGATCGTTGCTGGTACGCGGCCCGGTAGTTGGAGACCGCTGATTTCAAAGACAGGGGGCGTCAAAGCAGGTGCTGGGTCACAATTTGCCAGCTGTGTACGCTTGTTCTTAGTGGGGTGGGGGACACATAGTGCCGCTACCCTTCACGTTGGCCGGCCGGCCAGTCGTCGGGTCAGCTCGCCCAAGTACTCCCGCGGCCTCCGTCAACACACTACACGAACAAAGACATCAGAGGAGCGGCCCCCGATCCCGATTTCCCCCCCTCCCCTCTTCACCGCACCCCTGTGACCTCGCAGCCGCGCTAACAGTGGGTTTGTTCAGGAGTGTCACCCCCGATGCCCCGTGGGCAGGCTCAGCACTGACCAAAGTCAAAACCCCTCCATATGCCTCTCTGTCCCCACTTGAGTCACACACACACTCCGCTTGTACCCTACAGTCAGCCGACGAATAGTTTTTTCAGTCAGAGGAGAGAGAGAGAGAGCTGATGTCGAGGGAGGGGGTGTGGGGGGCGGGGGGGGCTTTTAAGAGGAAAGTAGCAAAAAGTGTCATGCTTGTTAAGCAGGTCAGGAGGAGCGATGCCTCAAGTGCAGTTGAGTTTCTCACACTGCTTTGGCAAGCAGACGCTCCAAAAGGGGAAAAGGAGCTTTTGTGAGTTTCTCTGTCCATGAGGTCGCTTTTCAATCGCACAATCGGAGAGGTGTCCAATTTACCAAGAGTCTTCAAACTTTTTCTTCCAGGAAGCACGCAACGGGCATCTTGACATTCTTCACCTTTAATTTAAGCTCACAGTCCTTGACTAAAACGTCTGGGTTCTGGAAACCCGTCCTATGAAATATTAGAATCAAATTCAGTCTATTTTGTAATTTTGTTTGCCGCTCAAATATTTAAATGTGAAAAGTAATAACGTTTTTGTGTGTTGGATTCAAAAGCAAGTAACAGAATGACTCATTTTTCATGTTTTTGTTTTTCAAATTCAAAATGGAAAGCATAAACGATACATGGGTTCACTTGGTCAATTTCACACTCAGCGGGTGTTATGTTGTCACTTTGTAAGTGTAAAAATAAGGTCACCACTGTACAGGGTTAAACGTAAACGAAACACCCAATCTTAACATTAATTACGAATACTGGAGCACATATTATGCAAAGATGAGTCATGTATGTAATTTTTAATATCTATAATTGTCACATTAGCACAAAAATAAGTAAACCGAGTTGCGACACAAAAATAGTGAAACATTGATAACAGATTGAATGTGAGTCTGACAACATATTTTTTTAATTTCAGATTTCTTTTATTTTCCTTTTCGAGATGAAGCTCGGTTGTATGCGTAACTTTGCTACTTTTGTTGTGTGACTGAGGTGTTGTGTTTCACCATCACAATGTCCTCAGGCCCTACTGACAGATGGGCCCTGAGGTTCCCCACAAAAGACCTCACTACAAATGTCCCGAAAACAAAAGACAAAGGCATCCAGTAAAATGCACTGATTCATAGCCTGCTTTAGTTTAAGGGCAAGTAATTAATTCTCAAGTTCCAATTCATGGGTCACTACTCCATCTTATTTTGAATTGGAATGTATACAGTATGGACTAAGGTTCAATTTATTGAATCTGATGAAATTATAAAAAAAATGGGTAAAAATTGGCAGATTATTTTTCTGCCTTGCAGATTTTTTTTTTCTACCTTTTTTTTTTTTTTTTTTACAACTTTGACATATTACAACATGGACGGCACAGTGGTCAACTAGTTAGCACGTCGGCCTCACGGTGCAGGGTTCAATTCCGGCTCTGGCTTTCCTGTGTGGAGTTTGCATGTTCTCCCCGTCCGTGCCCGTGTGGGTTTTCTCCGGGTACTCCGGTTTCCTCCCACGTTCCAAAAACATGCATGGCAGGTTTATTGGGCACTCCAAAGTATCACCAGATGTGATTTTGAGGCCAAATGGTTGTTTGTCTATGTGTGCCCTGGGCTGGAGACCAGTTCAGGGTGTCCCCAGCCTACTGCCCGAAGTCTGCCGGCATAGGCTCCAGTATGCCCGCGACCCTTGCGAGGATAAGCAGCTTAGAAAAAGGATAAATGATCATGACATTAACCCCCCCACCACCTAAAATTAGCTGATTTCTGCCAAATTTTGGTTCGCCAGATAAAACTGTTTTGCCTGTAATTCTTTAATGTTGTAAGTGTTAAAGACCAGGACTAAGAAAGTTATTTTAGTTATGTATTTGTTAATTAATTGTCTGATTCATCGGTTATCTGAATTTTGCCAACCATCGGAATCGGTCCCAAAAAAAAAAAAATCCCTATCGATCAAAACCTACTACACATACAAAGAAAGAAGTCTTCTATTTAATGTATTGGAATCATTACGTTAAATTATTTATATAAAAGACACTGTTACATATTACGGTACTTGAATGACTTGACGTGTGGGTAAAGAGAGCCACACCCGCCGATGCGCAAACTGTCAAACACGAATACAAAATGACAACAGGCAACTGACGCCGGAACGCTTACATGCTGACTAACCAGCCAACCCGATTCCAGTACCTTAAGTTACCCACTAGGCCACGCCCCTTTACGGCACACACCAACACACGACGGCGCATACAGTAATTTCACTTGATATTGCAATGTTATTTTGCTTTGCGTTTTTTATTTTTCCCTCACTGCAGCGCCATAAAATAACTTGGATCCTGGCTCTTGTATGCCTGACAATTATATATCTACCTTGAAGGAGTAGTCACACACGTTTGTTATTGCACGACGGCAACACACACACACACACGGCCACAACCCACCCCCGCCGGCATCTTGCTGGTTCTCCGCGGGCAACAGTAAACGGCATCATTAGCACAGTGGTAACGCGGCCCGTCACTGCACCCATCTGAGAGGGAAATGTCACCCTCCTCGCCTATCTGCCCCGCTCGCCTCTCAATTAGACGGCAGGGTTTCTGCCAGCAACACACACACACACACACACACACACACACACACACGCTGCCGTATTCTTCAAAGCCACTCACTCATAATGGCGCTCAGGTGCCAGGCAGGGAGCCTTGTATTGAGAGTTGATGATTTAGTTGTCAGACTTTTTTTTTTTTTTTTCCCTGTGTTTATCCTATCATTTGTTGGCAATTTCCTCTTTGGCTAAGTGCTCGCAAAGAATGAATGCCAGGCGAAAACACTGGGCGGCTGCAAGAGGACTCGGGCCAGGCAGTGTATTAAGCACGGCAGGTAGAAAACTGCCGTAATTACCCGCCGCGCCGCCACCGCACGCCGCCACACGCCTTTGTGTGCCGCGCGCTCAGGAGGCATGGCGATACAGAGCAAGACATTGATTTAGCGGCTTTTATTTTTATTTTTGCTCCCCATCTTTCCCCCCACTGCGGCCTGCGGATGAACCCCAGAATCACTTGAAATCAGGGGCTCTCAAAATTTCGGAGTTTGAAGACGCCTTACATGGGAGACGTTTTTCCAACGACCCCCTCGTAACCCTAACGCCAACCGAGGCGCTGATAACTCGAGTGGACTCACTTGATTCTTGTGATTTTTTTTTTTTTAATTAAATGCCCTCAATATCCACATGTGTAGCCCGCGGGCCTGTTCTCAAAATAGCTCCCTCGTGATGGGACATTGGGATTTTCTAGGAATATTGGGGAAATTATCATTTCAAAATGTGAACATTGGCAGAGATTTTTAGAAATAAACTGTTCATCATTTTTCTCATATTTAGAAAAATAATTAACATGATAAATGTGTTCACTTAAATATTATCAAGATAATCATCTGTCGAAGGTCTGCAACAGACAATTCTCAACGCTAATCGATCGTATGTTGATTTATTTTGTCAATTCATCAGATTTAAAAACAAACGTTTTAATTTCAGTACCCTATTTTCAAAGACAGGTCATTATATTAAATTCAAAAATGTTGCTCATTGTTTTCCAAAGTAAAAGATTTATTTTTTCGCTTCCAAGATAGTATCTCTGCTCTCAGCGAAGACTACAGAATTCTGAGAATATTCACTGTTGAGGGTGAATTTTTTTAGAATTTAATCAATGTCAATGTGAACAACTTCTCCAAATAATGATTCATTTAGCAAAAAATATATATATTTTTTTAAATGAGTGATTCATTTGATATTTGATTAGTTGTCGCATAATCGTTGCATCTCTAAGATCTGCTCCACGCTTTCTTGTATGTTGGCCCAGTCTTGCACGAACGATGTCACCGTCTCCCGAGAGCTGCTGCATTCGAATCTCATCTACTTGACTTGATACGATGGGCTTGTTTTGTCAAATTGAGCATCTCTTTTTGTTGTTGTCCAATATTGACTCATTCGTGCCCCAAAAAAATGATAATGTGAAGTCCCGGCTGAGGAATCAATAGGCACATTATTTCCCGCAGGGCGCCTTTATCAATGATCCAGTTATCCCAGTGCTTAATGAGGCTTCACATCTCATGTGTTTTATCGCTCCGCTCGCAAACGTTTCATTTGGTGTGCTGACGTTATCTGTTGTCTCTCCAGCATGGACGTGCAGGGAGATTACGACCCGTGCGACGCCTCAGGATTCATCAGGATCAACGCAGTCAGGTGAGCGCCCCCCCCCCCGGCAACAAAACGTCATTGATAAACAAGCCTAAACACCGCTTAAACTCAAATCACAACTGGACTGTTACTAACTGCCCCACGTCGGCATTTTATCGTCCTCCGATTGGTTGCTCAGAGCAACTGGCAAAGTGTCTCTGTAGCGCCCTGCGCGCATCCAAACAGTTAATAATCAGCACCTTTGATATGTTTGGTATACTCGTTTATATTTTGGAGATGTTATGCTATTAGGTGACGTGGCACAGTTGCCTGCTGTTACATTGCAATTTTTCTACAATATTGGCGGTATGAAGAGATGTCGGGTAGACACAGAAAACCCGAGCGCCAACTGTGCAGCCTGCCACTGTGCTTTACCGGGCAGGGGCATCCTCGGTTTATAACTGAGCGCACCGTTCGGAGCCTCAAAATGTCACATGACAGGGGCGTCATCAACGACAAGACCCCCTTGAATGGAATTTGCAAGAGATCTTTTCACCACAGGCTGAAGGAGCATCAGCGCCTGCAGGGTCTCTCCAGCAACAAGCTGTGAACCTACAGAGGAGCTCCACCTACAATTTTGAAGAACCATTCTTTAAAAATACCGACATTCTTTCAGATGGCGCCCGTTGCCTTCTCCCGTGCTCCTTAATATGTTCAAAATTAGGCCACTCTAAAAATGCTCCTGATGGTCGACGACTGTGTTGTGATCGTTGTTTCCAACGGGAGTCATGATCAATAAAAATCAAAAGAATTGCAATTGCGCTTTTGTTCCGTGTGTTGAATCTTGATGGATTGAAATACGCCAGTGTTGACAATGATTCAAAATAAAGTCCTTAAAGTTGTCCAGTGTTGACAATGATTCAAAATAAAGTCCTTAAACTTAAAGTTGCGTAAATAAACACCCTTGGCAGCTATTTGCAGTATTTCCACATTTTCTTTCCCCCCGCTCCACAGGTAAAAGGGGGCTAAAGTTCAACAAAATTCTATTCATGTTGATGTCGGGCCTTCCCGTCATGAACAGTTCAGTCAGTGTATCACTGAAAGGTGTCAGCGGCGGAGTCCACGTCCATAAGGGGACCTCCCGCCGGGTCTGTGGACCCCCCGTCAGGTCTAATGGGCAATGATGACTCCTCGGACCCTTTGAGTGCTGCGAGAAGCCCCCCACACCCAGCCCCCTCCTTCCCAATCCACCAACCCACCCGTCCACCTCCTCCCAGCTCCTGCTCAATTACACGGCAGGCGTCTCAGTCTTTGCCTGGTCAATTACTGGCCGGCCCCAGCATTTACTGTCACCCGCACACAGGTTGCAAGATAATCAGTGTCTGAAATGGCCCCGTATTCAGATTAGTCAGTCAAGCTGAAGGCGGGAAGGTGGGAGGAGGTGCCGAAGCGATCCGGGACACCTATCAATCTCAATCGGACTTCAGCACTTGGGGAGGGGGAGGGCTGATACATTTTTAGTAGGATGATAACATTTCGGTCGAGAGATGTTTTTTGACGGATTCCGTCCTTGAGTCTCTTCTTAATGCAGGCTCTGTAGGGTTGAAGTCTGGAGATGGACTTTAGGTAAGAGGTCCCTGCACCGCATCGGTTTTTGTTCATTTTAAGGGTGGTTACTATCTTGAGTCAGGTGAAATCTCGCGTGCTCTTATCGGGTGTAAGTCCAAAGTGGTCACTCCGGCCTCTGTCAGTTCGATGCTATTTTTCTGTTTTATGTTCCGCAACAGTAATCTAAACTGATTTTTGGGGAAAGGAGCGGGACACCCCCTGAACTGGTCGCCAGTCAATGACGGGGCACGTTTTGAAGTCAATAACAAAAGGTTGACTCTATCATGAGAAAAGTGACCCCTTGAGTTGTATTTCGAAGGTGTGAGGAATCCGTCTTTGTCGGTTCCACTCTTTGTTAAAGCGGAGACAACCTTCACGATGCATGCTGGGATACTCACCCATTCATTTCGTCTGGGGCTTCTCGTATTCCATCTCCTTCCTCTTACCTGTGCTGACACTTGACCTGACCAAGGGAATTAATCATCCTTGACCCCCAGGAACAATTACCTATCATTACCCACTCAGAATCGGGGTGGTGGGGGGGAGACATGCGTAACAATAGCACAACATGAAAAGTTGGCGGAGGCGGCCCTAATGGAGTCCCGCGATGTTCCCCGTCTCTTCGGCAGTCGGGGTCGACTAACCTTCAAGTCGCTGTCACTGCGCACAAAGCCAAAGTACAAAGGAGCTCGTTGTTCACCTGACCTCTCCGGAGATGAGGTGAAGGGACACTTGCCTAAGTTGGGAGCACTCGGACGTTTTAAGAGTTGACCTGGAATCAAGGTTGTTCCTGTTTAGTCACCAAGTGTCTTGATTTCCGAAAGTACAAAGGAGCTCGTTGTTCACCTGACCTCTCTGGAGACGAGATGAAGGGACACTTGCCCAAGTTGGGAGCACTCGGCCGTTTTAAGAGTTGACCTGGAATCAAGGTTGTTCCCGTTTAGTCACCAAGTGTCTTGATTTACAAAGATTCCAAATGTTGGTTGCCAAATTGCATTGCGATGCGCCGATTGTCAGCATGCCCATATTTGGAAGTGACGGATGAAATCATTCCGCCAGCTTGTCTGACGTCACAGCGCCGTTACTCTTGACTAGAATATTTTTCAATTTGAAACAAAATGCATTCTTATTTTCATTATAACAACACCAAGATACGGATGCTATTCATTTGCCCATCTATGGCATTTTGCGCTCATTGTTAGCATTAAACTAAGTGGACTGTATGGCGCAGCTTTGTGGCTGTTTTACAAACATACCGTTTTGTGTTTAGCTTGGCAGTCAACTTCGACTTGCAGTGGCCATCAACAGCTCAAAGCTTTTTTTTTTTTTTTTTTTTAAGATCTGTTCACTGACAAATTGCTGATTTTTGTAAAATGGCTAGCGTGATACAGTATCTTTAAAAACTTGGAAGTGGGGTCACTCGTATCTCAAGGCACCGTTCACTGTACTTTAAATGACGGGAAAAAAAATGCATTTGAGTTCTCAGTGGTCCCAAATGTCAAATCCATGAAGAAAAATCGTTCAAGACATTTCCCTTGAGCGACGAGCGCATTTACGCTTGAGCTTCTGTCCTCGACGTCGTGTTTGGGCCTACAGGAAGATTGAACTCCACATAGTTCTCCTGTCTTTTGTGCTCATTCAATGCGTGCTCTTCATGGAGCCGTCTGCAGTGAAAAGTCCTCGTGTTCACTGACCTTTCCTCTGGCGCACAATGAGGCGGCGACAATGACCACCAGCAGGGTTAATTACCCACAATTATGGGCCAACATTGTCGCCCTCATGCTTTTTTTTTTTTTTTTTTTTTTTTTTTTTTTTTTTTTTTTTTTTTTTTTTTTTTTTTTTTTTTTTTTTTTTTTTTTTTTTTTTTTTTTTTTTTTTTTTTTTTTTTTTTTTTTTTTTGTCGTAACCCAAGCCCCCATTCGCCCAGGGTTCATTATGACGTCTGTTGTCCTACCTACGTCCAGGTATACACACAACGCGGCTCAGCTCCTTCCGGCCGTTTCACTCCACCACCGTATGTGTCTGCGCGTGTCTGTGTGTGTGTTTAATTACTGTTAGTTAAGTCATCAAAAAACATTGCACATTTCACCAAATGCTTAACTGGTAAGTGGTAATGGACCACTCCCGAGAGGTTTGTGGTTGAAGCAAGTGGTGCCGGATTTGTGATGAGGTCATACAAAGTGATTTCGGGAGAGTGAATTGGAGTCTGGGTCAGTCATTGTCATATGGTTTGATTCATAACTGTGACTAAAAGCCACACTGAATGTGAGTTTTGAAAATCATTTGATTTTACTGGTATGAGTATGAAGAATTCGTAGCAGTAGTTCATTAATTCACAAGGTAATAATTGTTTCTCAGGAGAAAAAAAAACGTTTTTTCACGCTTTTAATGCTAAAATGTCTTGACCCTCATGCATCCCAAAATTTTCACAAACCGCAACGTGTTCTGAAGATTTTCTGTTCCTACGCCTGTTTATATTGAGGCCATTCCAAAGTCAACCACCAGATGGCGGTACCCATGTTTAGTTTGAGACGATGAATATTTAAGAAGAAGAGCAAAAGGGGATTTCAGCTCAGCCTCGTTTTGGTTGAAAATGATTGAACCTCATCTGCTGTAATCCTGCTTTTTACGCCGACACAAAGCAATAGGTTTAGGTCCATTTTATAATGCACGTCTTTCAAATTATCAATTTATCTGAATTAATTTTTCAGTCAATTTTGTGTGTGTGTGTGTGTGTGTGTGTGTGTGTGTGTGTATTCGGACATCCCATTAATATAAAAATGTAATTTATATACATATAGTGAATGTCTTAACGTCTTATTTCTTTGTAGTGTGCTTGTATGCAATTGTTGGTTGTTGATGTTGGCGTAGCAGAGTAACAGAAGGTGCGTCGCTTATGGATAATGGCGTCTGTAGCTTTGACGCATAATGTCATAATTTGTTCATTGTGTGTGTGTGTGTACAAAACGGTGCCGGCACTAGCAGACACGTTCCCGTCGCTCTGGAAACTTGATCTTTCTGCGAGAACATCAAGAGACCATCTGTGAGGAAACATGGCAGGATACACTTTGCCTTGCAGGCTCTCTCTAACATCCACGGACCTGCTGTGTGTGAATGTGTGAGTGTGCATGTGTGTAAGTGTGTGTGTTTTCCATTGATGTCAAAGCCTATTTTCTGGTGTCAAAGGACAGCCATTGCCAGCTCCTGTCCTTTAGATCTATAGACAGATGGGGCTATTATGGTCAGAAAGCCCCCCCTTTGGCATTGTTTGCCCTGAGCCGGTGATGAAATATTGATGGAAAAATAGAAATATTTTGCCTGCTGCACCATGTTGGAGGTTAATGAGTGTGAAGACTTTGCCGTCTCCTGTTACAACAAGATGTAGCAAAACGACCACCGCCATCATCGACAATAGGAGTCTGCGGGAATCAATAAACTTTCAACACTGGATTGGGTTACAGAGCTGTGATTGATGTGCTGTATTGCTGTGTGTGTGTGTGTGTTTTATATATATATATTTATATATATATATATAATGTAATATATGTCAGCTATCAAGTCTTAGTTTCTGGATGATAGATTTTTATTTGACCATTTAATGCTATTGGTTTTTAATTTTAAAATGTAAAAACAATTTGCAGTGTTTTTTTTCGGGGTCCTGGAACAAATTTGTGGCATTTCTACAGAAGCGCGGATAGCTGGCACGTCCCAAAAAATAAAGTTCAATATCACCTTATAATGTGATAAATGTTTGACATGATCATGTGATGAATGTCATCATGAGAAGTTTCAGGTTTTAACGATAAGATTCCACGCGATAATGTAATAACGAGAAATGATTCATGTTTCAACATGATAAAATGTTAAACCTGTTAAAATGCAACAACTTTGACTCGTGCTTTTGGCAAAACTAAATGAAGCGATTCATGCCGCTTCAAGTCACTGGCAGGGGGTCATCTATAGGTTTGTGTCTTCTTTTTAAATTTTAAATCTTTTTCTATGTGGCATTATTATTATTATTATTATTATTATGACAGTATTCTTGCAAAGCAACATCGTAACACAGAATGGGCTCGGACTCTGACCTGAGCCAAGTCAAATCACGTATGATCACGCTAGCACATGCGCAAGTAGTGAAGTCTTGTGACCTACCAGTGTCCGGCCTTAGCTTCTGTATAAGAGTGTGTCAAGTTGCCGAAATATCCCCCCCCT